GATATTTCATCAAGACTAACATATATTTTTATTTTCTCCAAAGAAACCCCCTGGATGAACATTATTTCAGCTGATATTCCTAGTGAAACATGATGGATCTTAAAAGTCTACAAGTGGGACTCCCTTTTTAGAAGCTTTGAACTGAATTTACCCGTCTTAATGCTGAAATAGATAGTTTATCCATACATTTTAAGAAAATAGGTATGTCAAAGAAGATGTTAAGCCATTGCCCTGGTAGCTCAGAAAAGTAAAAAAAATATTGAATTTTTTCTCTACAGACCTTGTTGCCCCTTTAAGACTTGAGGTTAGAGGTGACCTAGAATTTGGTATTCGAGCTCAGTGTAGCATGTGGCGTTTTTTCTGTTTTTGCCATTGTTCATCTTCATGTATAATTTAAAAAAATTCCAATGAGTAAGTGTCTGATTGACGCCATCGTCCTCGCTGATAAACATAAACAAAGTGAATGATTTAAAATTGTGAACACATCGATAGTTGCCAGAAAAATTTGTAAATATGTTTCGATAAACAAAATGTTCATTCTGCGTAATTCGCTTTTTACAAATTTTGACTCTTAGCTCACAGTTAGTATCACACGCCCCCCCCCCCCTAACACAAAATCCTGGATCCGCCCCTGTAGCAGGTTGGTATATCTATGATTAAATATATAGAGTTGAAAGAGCAAAACAAGACATAACCGATCAAAGTCATCTGCAAGTTATGCATTGCAAAATATACCTACATTAATGATTTTGATCTTTACATTGGCCCATCCTTTACATTTTGAATAATTGTACACACAGGAGTGGTATTAGGAGAAGATTACTTCTTTCATAGACCCCAGACTTGTGAGTTCCTAGCAGTGGTCTGCTGGTTAGCTTGTGTTAGCGCATATTTGAGTATTTCGGGGCTTGCCATCAACAGGTACACCTATTGACATGATTGACACTGTTTTTATTACTTGAAATTTTCAAGATAGGACGTTTTGAAACATGTGTCCAACATTTTCCAATGTCATATCAGTAATACGAATATCATTAATTCCTGTTTTAAAGTGTCTGTTCGATGCTCATGGGATCAAAATACAGTTTTTACACGTTCTAAATGAAGTAAATACCACCAACATGTCAAACCAGGTACCGTTCTTGTAAATATTTTTATAAATGTGAAAAGGTCTAGTGCACTTTCCATTATGATTACCCCATGAACAAAATGAATCATCTTTAGGTGTAACATAAAGAAACCAATGTCACATAATACTTTGGAAAATATTAAAGCGTATGGACCAACATGGGCTGAGGTTGAGGTCATTAAGTTCATTCTGATACAGAATGACACACTTATTAAAAATGATATAATTTTAAACAATAATTGTAACATATTGGTTTCAATAAGTTTTGACTTAAAAGGGGCTTGAACTAACGATAGTCATATAGAATAGTTACATTCTTGAATAATAGTCAATGAACAGTTATATTCCTATCTTATCAGCAGGTAATTTGCATAGTATAACATCTTCTGAGGTACCGTATCTAATGACCGTCTCAAGTTGTTCTGGATCTCCAGATACACAGGACAAGTTTAGATAAAGCGCAAGAGGATGAAGACTGCTCTGTATTATATAATTACATTTTATCTGTTTATAGCCATATATTTTTTGATTCAGGTCTTTTGGCTTATGATGCCCCTTCAAGTTACATTTTATATCAATAAATGAAGTAAATTTAATAAATTTAATAAATGAAGTAAATTTGCATGTGAAATTCACAGAAATGCTCTGATGATCTTTAACGGATTTAAAGAAGCATTATTGATTACTTATATTACGTAACATATTCAGTTTTAAAATGTACATAGTATGACGTTATCTGAGGTATTTAATAACCGCCAAGTTGTTCTTGGATTTCCAGAAACATAGGGCAAATTTAGATACAGCAAAGGTGACTATGGATACTTTGCACATTTTATTTCTAGCATTTTGAAATATTGATGCCTTTAAAGTATTACAAAACTGTTATTTCCAGATCCAACATTAAATACCTTATTGTTCGATTGAACTGTATATTATAGTCATGAATAAAACTGGAATACAAAAAAAAGAAAAAAGACATATCAATCAGGTTCTGTTATATTTCGATTTGGGCAGCCTACTGCCAGTTGGGAATATCTTACTGAGTGCTGCCATCTTTCAATCAATGCAGTCTACTGCTTGATAGGAGACACACAACCATTAGATCCTTCCGCCGAGTGGGAAGACGAATAGATGGCATTATAAAAACAAAAATATAGTCCAATTATTGTAATTACATTAGCATCACCAGTAGTTGGATTTTGGTAAGTACATCAATGAAAAAGTGTATGTGTGGACCAACTCTGAGACATGATTTGATGTGATTAAGATGCATTTTCTTTAAAAAATTTGACCGTTTTGACCTGCCTCCATTTGTCAAAATCAGAATGACATTTTTTGACATTTTCTATAGATGGCGTCTTCAACAGGTGAGATCTTTTGATTTTCGTGGGGAGTTTTGAAACAAACTTTTTTGACTGACAGAGGATATACTGGGGTATGATGCAATGATAGCAAAACGTGTCCACAAATCTTAGTTTTCTCTGGAAGACAGATCGTTTGTATGGAAATACGCATGTTAACAATTAGTTGGGTTAACCTATAGTCATTTACTTATTGCCAGCAGTGACATAGTAAGGTGCTGCTATCTTTTAATTAAGATAGTTCATACATGGATACCTGACATGTTATAGTGCTGCCCTCTTTATCAAATTAAGTCCATTCCAAAGGGACCAAAATTAACAGAGTATTAATTGCATAACATAACAATGGTAACTTGAATGTTGCACTTGAACGCTTATGTATTTTCTATAGTAACTTCCTGATCTATTCCCGCTCGCTAACAATGATTAAACGGGTCAGGTCATTACACATGTATAATGTTTCCATGATTAATTTATATTATTTTTTAAAGTCTCTAATTGACGTCATCGTCCTCGCTGATAAACATAAACAAAGTGAATGATTCAACATTTTGAAAACATCGATAGTTGCCAGAAAACTTTGTAAATATGTTTCGATAAACAAAATGTTCATTCTGCGTAATTCTAGGAGGCAATATTATACATGTAATCTGTCATTGTACACGAAAATAATTAGAAATTTTGTTTAAAATCAATGCTTCAAACTCCCAAGTGATCATTTCGTGGTACTGGATTCATTTACATTACTACGGAATATAATACTGATCATTTCAGTAAAAATTGTGACCTTACCCTGCGAAAATGGAGATAATGATTTACAGCTAGTCCTGCGCATGATACTACAGGGTGTCAAATAAGTCTGTTCTCCCCCCTTAACTTTTTTATCTTTAAATTTATCATACTTTCCCATATATCATTTTGAAGCTCATGGAAAATGCTGATCACCCTCAAAAAATCAATAATGAAATATTCTTAATAAAATTCCTACAATGTTTCTTGTAAGGTTGTAGTTGACCTTTGATTACGTCAAAACAAGTAAAATTACCAGGTATAGTGACTGAAAAGTGAAAAGTTGATACTGCAGTGACAATGCCAACATTGGGTGATTTCGATGTTTCTCAATATCATTACAGAGTAAAATGTGTTACATTCAGGGGAGCCTTTGAAGCAAGGGCATCTTTCATCACAAAATAGTTGATAACACCTAAATTAAATGTTCTGAATGATTTATACAGGATCATATCCTCGTAGAATTAAGCCATCCGGGCTGCTGGGGGAGACATACAGACTTTTAAAAAAGTGAAATATGGACATCACTAAAAATACTCTAAAAAAGGACGATTCTCGGTTTGGAGAACGAAGTTCATCAATCTAAATGAGCATTATCCCTGCTTCGGACAAATTTGATTTTTTTACATAATAAAGATTTGAATGTCTTCTTTTGAATAGTTATAATTTAATTTGGATAATATTTCTAGCTTTTTCGCAAAAAAATATTAGCGCAGTACACTGACGAACTTCTTTCCCCAAATCGAGACTTGTATTTATATTGAATCGGTCTATTTAAGCATTATCCCTGCTTCAGACCAATTTGTTATCTTTACATCTTGTAGATTTAAATGTCCTCTTTTGAATATTCCTAGTTTAATTTGGGTAATATTTCTATATTTTTCATGAAAAAAATTATTAGCCCAGGAGACTGTTCTCCAAACCGAGAATCGTCCTTTGGCATTTAACCAATCACTCTGAAATTTGGTGTGTGATCAGCAAATTAAATTCCCTTTAAGATGATATATGCCATCCTATGTTATCTCTGAATTAGAAAAGTTAAGGGGGAGAACAGACTTATTTGACGCCCTGTACATCACCTGGTCTTTGGGGAATTGATTGTACTTCGTATAGAAAACAATTGTAAACCTGCGGATAGCGTGGTTAAATACATTCTCCAAAACGTAAAAAATTGAAAAAGTTGGCATAACATTTTAAAACCTCGATTATTGGAACCGATTTCGATTGTCGGCTATGGATATTTTAGTTGTACTCGAACGAAGCAGGCCAGTGACGTTCGTAATATCGCCATTTAGACATTCAATCCAAGGTCACGTGTTATCACGATACTCGGTGGTTGGTGTGGTGTTTTAGTGCTTTGTATTCGGTGTCTGTAACAGATGGCAGGTGGTGAGACGTGACATTTTGTTTGTTAATGCCTTGTTGGATTGCATTTCCATACTCTGAGCGGTAATGGCGGTTGTCGTGAAAGACACTTACACTTACCTATATAATAACTTACGATTCAAAAGTACATGGTATCCAAAAATCCATGATTTTCAAGTGATGGATAATGAATTTGAAAAAGAATTCTTGGACATTTGAGGCCATGGCTTATGGTCGAAGTTTATTTTATTATCAAAGAGTATGATATTACTCTCAGTTTCTCAAAAATATGATTGTTCAAAATATACAGACTGTTAAATCTTGGAAAATCCATCGATTTCGTAACTTTAGGACAACCAGTTAATGTAACTCTCGAATGACTGCTCGAATAGCTATCATGGGGACGTTTCGTTCTAACTCGTCGATTTTGTATAGAGAATTATGGTCTTAATTCATTTGAAATGGCAGTTGTTCTAGACAGTTGTTCACTTGCTTGATCCAGGGCGAGTACGTCGGGCGTATATGATCTGAATCGTCATTGAACAGAAATTATCAAAACGGGAAAACATGGAGTTCCACATAGCACATTTCAGTAATATCAATACAACGAATTCATCGGATCAGAGCTACCTATTGACATATCCTCCTTATGCTGAACATTCTCCAGGAAAGTTTGCAGTTTACATGTTCTTCGCTGTAACATTCTGTATTTTAGGAGTATTTGGAAATATTCTTGCTATCATTTCGATTTTACGCGAAAAGGTAAGGAAATTAATATCGAAATAATGATTAATTTGGAAAATCTAGAAGAAAGAAGTTTTCACAATGACTTCGATTTAAGAGTGAATGTAACCACAATAGAAGGGAGGGGGAACCCACACTCCGACACGGTTAAACCCAATACTGAAAAGCACAGCCTTCTCAAAGAACAAAGCCTATCATTTTTTAGATCTTGCGGGTTCCTGAAAATATGTTCCTCGTGTCGTTGGCTGCGTCTGACATATTGGTCGCTGGACTAGTGCTGCCATTTAGCATAGCAGGTTGGTATATCTATGATTAAATACATCAAGTTGAAAGAGCAAAACAAGACATAACTGATCAAAGTCATCTGCAGTTATGCATTGTAAAATATAACTACTTCAATGATTTTGATCTTTATATTGGCCCAACCTTCCTTTACATTTTGAATAATTGTATACACAGGAGTGGTATTAGGAGAGGAGTACTTCTTTCATAGACCCCAGACTTGTGAGTTCCTAGCAGCGGTCTGCTGGTTAGCATGTGTTAGCGCATATTTGAGTATTTCGGGGCTTGCCATCAACAGGTACGCCTATTTACACTGTTTTTATTACTTTTTATACTCCGTATCGCTACACGTATCATATTCAGTTACTAGTTGCACTACAGGAGTTAAATATCAGACACATAAATCTGGTTTACGTGTTACGGGTTCTTGATGTGTTGTATCTGTGAAACCCCTCTATTAACTTATCCGTTTTAAACATAATTAATTTGAGTTGGAGTTTCAATTCAAATGAAAAAACTACTAACTGTAAGGTAATAAATTGCTTTTAATTTCTACTTGCAAAATGGATATGACCTTTACGTTTTAATAAAATAATTACAAGGGAGGCGATGTGTTTCAGGATGATTTTAGTTTGGTTTCCAAAACTGTATGTCAGACTTTTCACATGGAAGACCACTCCATTCATAGCGTTTCTCCCGTGGTTCCTCACATTACTGACCGTCATTCCTCTACTGACAGATTGGGAAAAGTTAGAATATGATCCAGAGAGTATGAGCTGTATAATAGATGTAGATCACCTCCCTACTAACATATACCAATTTGTGTTCCTGTTGCTGTCACTAGTGACGTCATTCGTCGCCATTGTTATGACAGCTGTGAAGATAAAAGTTGTAAAAGAAAAGAAATACGAGGTTAGTGACCTATAATTTAACGACTTAAGATTATTATTTGTATAAATCCCATATTCAAATGTCAACTACTAATAAGATTTTCGAGGAAATAATTATAATTTCATTAGAATAAATGCCTGGTATGGTATTTGTATTTGAATATTGGGAGCTTGATTAGTTGGACATTGTTCAAAACTCTTCGGATTACAGGTTTCAACTTTTCGATCTCTGATTTGTTTCAGTTTTCCGCGATAGCTCCTAATGTGCTTTTAATGGGAACGTTTCTGCCTGACGCTGAAGAGGAGCACCTCCATAGGAATGTAGATGAAAAATCGGAAGAACTCCGGAAGTACCTTGATGACATCATGATCACTGTTAAGATGCTTTCGTGCCTTTTCATTGCCTGCTTTATTTGGACGCCTTATACGATTGCAATTCTGTCGCAGCATATTGTCACGTATGGAAGAGATTACTGGGCCTTTGCTTGTCTACTAGGCCATATGCAACCAGGACTGAACAGTTTCTGCTATCTTATCTCCAACAGGTACTTTAGAAAGGGTTTTGTGAATAGCATTTTGTTGATGTTTTGCTGCAAGACAGGACGACATAAATAGTTTGTTTCCATTGTACAGTGCCTGCATTGTTGGATCCACATTCCACAGTCTGTACTATACGTTGGAATACACATTTCTCACAAGCTTTGGATAGGAAGACTCTGATATAGCAGAATACATTGCTTGGTGCATTAATAACAGTCAGAGGTCTTACCACGCGAGATACGATCGCCCCGAGGGATCTCCATTTGGCTCTTTGGTCTTTGCCTAATGCATACATTATGACCGACTTTAGGGGATTGAAAATGACATTGAACATGTACTTTGTATATGTTTATGTATAAAGAATTTCTCATCACTTCATATTGACGAGCAATTTCTTCAAACTATAGCTATTAGATGTTTAGAGAAAAAATAGAACAATAGTTATGGATCATTTAGATTTTAGTGTACTTTTGGAACAGAAATCGACACAGAACCAGTCTGAGTCTTTAAAAAACGTGTATCTTAATCTCCCCAATGTATAATTATCATACTCGTTAACTCAATAACTGTGAATGTCTTGATCGCATATACTAACAGGAACAGGAAGCCATTGTTCGGCTAAACATTTAATATACCACTCAGTTTAAACAAAAAACAGGGAACGATTATTGGACTGCAAAGGAGAATGGCCGAAGATCCAACTCCAACCCTTCGGAATTCGATTGGTTCCTTAGAGCATCTTCGGCCAGAAGAAGTTATTCATATGTGATATACAAAATCTGTGTCAAGGTTTGATTTATAAATAGTTGTAATAGATGACGCTGCTTTCGATTGCATGGCCAAAGGCCATCCACGATTAGGGAGACCGGGAACATGCTTTCCCGACCCCGGGGAAATATTTTGTTATAATGATGTGATTTGGTGCAATCAGAGCATTTTATTTCGCAGGAACTTGTAGCACTTTGATATGCTTATGCCAGATCTGAGTCAATATATATTTCTATAAGAAAGAAGACAACGCTTCACCATTTCTGGGAACTGGAAGTAAAAAAGGATATGAGTTATTTGTCAAAATTTTATAATTAGGGTCTCATTTTGAAGAAAATCATTTATCTGTAAGATAAATGTAATTGCATAACATGTAGACAACATTAAATAAAGAATTATTGTTGTTTTGGATACCCATGCTTCAGGACAAACTCCCAATGACAGACTTCACATTTTCAAACTCACCTGTTTAAAGATTTCTCCCTCAGTATTTAATCAACCAACTCCTGATCATTTGTTGTTGTCAAAATGCAGTCAAAGTGATGTCATATTTGAAATCAACATGTAAAAGTACATCTAAAAAAGCCCTGCTGTAGAGGCAAATACAATATGGAAATTGTCAAACCATTCAGGTGATTACCTTGAATTTGGAAGATACATAGTTTTTTATCAGAACTTCTGGATCGATGTTGTATAGATATATAAAGCGCTTTCTAACTTGTGTATCGAAAAAGTTTTTATGGTCCCAAGGTTCTTCCATTCCAAAGCGAGTTGCATCATACAATGAAGTCCATAAATAAAGATCCCAAGGTTAAAGAAAACGACATTCCGTAAATGCTTGATTATCTTGTTATAAAAGTGAAAGACCTATAGGAAGTTTCATTCTTACTCAACCTCGGTTTTGTATTGAGAACCATGGGGCGTTACAACCACCTAGACATCATTTCATGTTAATCACAGATGTTCTAGACAGTTGTTCACTTGCTTGATCCATGACGAGTACGGGTGTATATGAACTGAGATGTTAAGTCACCATTGAACAATATTCATCAACAAGGGAAAACATGGAGTTCCAAATAGCGCATTTGAGTATTAATATCAATACAACGAATTCATCGGATCAGAGCTATCTATTGACATATCCTCCTTATGCTGATCATTCACCTGGAAAGTTTGCGGTTTACATGTTCTTCGCTGTAACATTCTGCATTTTAGGAGTATTTGGAAATATTCTTGTAATCATTTCAATTGTACGCGAAAAGGTAAGGAAATTGATATGATTACCTTGGTGAATTTCGTTATTGTGCAATATAGTTATGACGTGCATGGACCTGGGGACAATTCGGTACGGGCTGATTTCAGCTTTGAGCGTTAATCTCTGCCTTATTTAAAAAGCTAGCTATGTTGTTTCTATATCATTTTGAAGTATTTTTTATTCGCATTTCAGTGAAATTATTTTTTCTTCAAAATGTTGATGGGATCCAACATATTTTTAAAGTTAAACATATCCCAAAATCGTCAAATACGCTGTAAGACGTAACACTTTACACTTACAGGGCTCGTTGAAATTGGGATAACTTTTGAAATAATGCTCAAAATCCCACTAAAATTTCACAATTTATTCAATGGAACATGTTCATTTATGACGTCACAATTGCTTAACGGCTACAGTTCAAATTATCATATATGAACGCTTTTAGAATTTTCAAAATTGTGTAAGGTTTTGAAGGCGAATGGGACGAGCAATAAGTTCACCTTCATTTAACCTTCTAATTCAAGTCTGATTTGAAAGAAAAATTAACTGCACAATATTGTCATGGCGAAATTTACAAAACAATAACCAGTTTGTTTATTTTGCAAATAATATTAAAATAAGAGCTGGTTTTCGAGACTTGAAAAAAATGTGACGCATCGATTTTCTACCACAAATTCCATACATATCAATTTTTACCAACGCCCCAAGTGGATTTCTTGACCGTTTTCCCAAATTCAAAAACATTTTAGAAATATTGTCCTCGAGATCTTGCTACCCTGTGAATTTTGTCATGATTAGATAAGGATAAAGTATTTTATTTTTAGGTTGACTAAACTTGACAAAAATGTGACGCTTGTCGTTTTTGACGTTGTAAGGCTGTTTGCGCCCTACTGCTCATTGTTTTGTCTTGGTTTTTTGACGCCATAATGTTACGCTAATTGTCCCCAGTTTCGTGCGACGTGTATGTACGAACAAAACGGAGCTTTCCCCCTTCATTCGTGTGTAAGACAACAACGTTGGTCACTCATAAGCCACAGAACCAATCTTCATTCATACATTTGATTTTCAGATTTTGCGGGTTCCTGAAAATATGTTCCTCGTGTCGTTGGCTGCGTCAGACATATTGGTCGCTGGATTAGTGCTGCCATTTAGCATAGCAGGTTGGTCTCTATCCATATACTATATATATATCGAGTTGAAAGAGCAGAACAAGACATAACTGATCAAAGTCATCTGCAAGTTATGCATTGCAAAATATACCAACATTAATGATTTTGATCTTTATATTGGCCCAACCTTTACATTTTGAATAATTGTATGCACAGGAGTGGTATTAGGAGAAGAGTACTTCTTCCATAGACCCCAGACTTGTGAGTTCCTAGCAGCGGTCTGCTGGTTAGCATGTGTTAGCGCCTTTTTGAGTGTTTCAGGTCTTGCCATAAACAGGTAAATTTTTCAAGATTTTTAAACTTGTGTCTAATATTTCACAGGGCCCAAAAAAAACTTTTGGCCCATCCATTTTAAATGGACTGATTAATTGCCCTCTTAGCACGAATAATTATCAATTATGGGCCTTAATTTTTTAAAATTTGAGTCCACTTTTTTGGTTTTTGGGGCCCATACCTCTCATACTTAAAATATGGGCCACACTTGTTGGTTCCTTGATCCGCCCCTGCTCTTCAATAATACAAGTTTCATTAGATCCTTACTTTAACGTATAATTAATCAATATTTTTTCTTTCGTTTTGATGCATTGATTTGCAATAGACTGTTTTGAATGATTAACGTAGTCGCATTTTCCGAATTGCTACGCTTATCACTTTACACTTGATGTTTTAAATGAGTTACACACCATTCCAAAAGTTTGGGAACCTTAGCTCCCTCATTGAAATACATGTCAAGGTGCCATGGTACTTAACAGGAAATAAAAAGACATGTTGCATTTTTAGACACTTTTTGAACAATGCAAAATTATTTCATCATGTTTAGGGTCATTCTGACCATGTACATTGTGATCCTGATCAAGTAAATGATATGTTGAACTAGTTAAACTGACTCGATGTCAAAACAGAACTCTGTTATCTTTGTTAAAAAATATCCATAAGTCTCATTATGTTTGAATTTTTATTTACATAACCTGCGAGCAAAAATACATATAACTTTGATGGAAATGTAATTTGACTTTATTTCCAATGCCTTCAAATTTTCCCAATTCCTTCCACAATTACAATAGGTCGAAAATTGATGATAAATCTGATGATTTTTTGAAAATCGTCATTCTCATGTAAACCAATGGGAAATATATGTAAGTTTACCGCAAGTCATACAAAATATTCATCCGTCGAATTTGCTAGTTTTATTTAAAACTGATAGGTCCTTCGAGTTTAAAAACTTATAATAGCTATTTTTTATTTTTCAAAAAAAACCTCCCACTGAAAAAACATAGAAGGCAAAAAATGATTTTCAAAAATGACTTTGAAGCTCTGTAACTTTAATATTCATAAAGTAAACTGAACAATTAGCGTACAAATACACACATTTCGATGGATCTTTTACTGGATAGATATCCTGAAATCAGATTTTCCCATAACCAAGTCAAGTTACGTTTTGATTAATATTATAAGCATTTTTCTCACACGTTATGTTTTCAAATTTTTAAATTATAGTTGTGTACGTGAAACCCCTCTATTCTATTTAACTTAATAATTGTATAAGTTAAGTTTCAAATTCAAATGACACAAATATTACAGGTTATAAATTATTATAGATACATTTCTACTGGCAAAATGGATAACATGACCCTAATGGACTAAATGTGTTGCAGAATGATTTTAGTGTGGTTTCCAAAACTGTATGTCAGACTTTTCACATGGAAGACAACTCCATTCATAGCGTTTCTCCCGTGGTTCATTACATTGCTGACCGTCATCCCTCTGTTAACAGACTGGGAGAAGCTGGAGTATGATCCAGAGAGTATGATCTGTGTAGTGGACGTGGATTATCTCCCTACTAACATATACCTATTCATGTTCATCTTGTCGTCACTAGTGACGTCATTCATCGCCATTGTTATGACAGCTGTGAAGATAAAAGTTGTCAAAGAAAAGAAATACGAGGTTAGTGAATGAACCTTCTAATGGAATGACTAATAGACTGTAATATATATTTCTATAACTTATTTGTATAAATCGCATTTTCTTTTTTAAGTACGAAAAAGTTCGGAGACAATAATTATTCCAGAGTATATGTGGATTACGGGTTTCAGTTCGGCACTGCATTAATTATTTCAGTTTTCCGCGATAGCTCCTAATGTGCTACTTATGGGAACATTTCTGCCTGATGCTGAAGAAGAACACCTACATAAGAATGTGGATGAAAAATCGGAAGAACTCCGGAAGTACTTTGATGACGTCATGATCACTGTTAAGATGCTGTCGTGCATTTTCATTGCCTCCTTTATCTGGACGCCTACTGTGATTGCTGTTTTGTCGCAGCATATTGTCACGTATGGAAGAGATTACTGGGCCTTTGCTTGTCTTCTAGGCCATATGCAACCAGGGCTGGATAGTTTCTGCTATATAATCGCCAACAGGCACTTCAGAAAGGGTTTTGCGAATAGTCTTTCGTGGGTGTTTTGTTGCGTTTGTTGCAAGACAAAAATACAGAAATAGTTTGTTTCCAAGTACAGTGCCTGGTGCATTAAATTACCGCCAGGTGGCCTACAACTGGACACGATCCCCTTGAAGGATCTCGGTTTGGATCACGGGTTTGGATCTTTGCTATTCGCATTTATCATGACCGACTAAATGGATTAAAAATTACATGTACTGCAGTGCACTGTACTGTACCATACCGCACCGTACCGTATCGTACTGTACTGTACTATATTCGTAAGGAAGTTACCTCATTAGCGTGGTATTGAAGTATGTCTTCTAGCCATCGAAATTAATGTGAAATCATACATCACTACAAGCCATTGCAGCTGGGTCGAAGTAGCAATTTGCTATCGAGGGTCGTTACATATATTTATCATTTGTCTGGCAACATGGACTTTTACTTAGAAAAGGAGGATTTCAGCAAGGATGCATTGACTAAACATGGCGATATGCACTATTGACTTAACATAGGGATATCATCAAATTCATATTTTGGTATTCTCATGTTCTCATTAATTCATGTTTTTGTCACCCTGTACCTTTTATACATGTCACATTACCCCCTTTCAAGCATCAGACAGTGTTTTATACATTGCACAACGCAGATTCTTTTACTATTGCAGACTATTGACATCCCGTGGGAACCATATTCTTGACATTTTCCAAATTATATGTTCTGTTGTAAATCAAATATACCTAATTTTTATCAAAATCAATAGATATTATACTTCAAATGCAGTTATGTGGTAAAATAATATAAAAAAAGTTTTTGAGAAGGCAACCTTGTGTGACCCCGTTTCTGAGGCAAAAGCTCTTGTTACAATCGAGGCCAAATATGTTTTCTTCATCAGGATCAAAGTCAATACTTTCAAACGCTATATACACGTCGCACGAAACTGGGGACAATTAGCACGGGTTACTAGAGTATCCGCGTATATTGAGTATGACCGGTTCTAAGCTTACGAGTGTGACCGTATTTCTGTTCCTATAAACAGACGAGGTGAGTACTTGCTTTTTATGAACACTTTCGAACGTTTTCTTTTTATCCTACTTGGTCAATGAATGATACTTGGTATACTTATAATGCCAGGCATATCACAAGGGGCCTTAATCAAGAGAAAACGTATTGATATTAGATTGAAGCCGTAAAATCATAATTTCCAGCATCTTTGATCAGGTTTTGTGTAACACAACGCAACTCCGAAGAGGATGACACATCTTATGTATAATATATAGCTAGATCTACGAATTAGTCATGAATATTTTAAATAATTTAGCCTGCTCTGTCCAAATATGATACATCTTTGAATTTTTGAGAATACGAATGTTACTGGTGCCCCATTATTGGAGAATACGGTTGTGAAATGTCTTCCATGACATTTCACAAGCGTATCCTCTGGGAAAAGATAAATCCTTCTCTTGCTCACTCTACGGGGGATCATATAAACTGAGATTTGGAGATCTTGTTCAGGTTAGCCACAAAAAGGTTTGGGATTTGTTTGTTTCTACTGTGATATTAATGATTTGGCTCTTAGGCGAGAAATCTGTACTTTCTGATTGATATTCCATTATGAACAGTTACATTAATAATTGCTAAAATAGCTCATGTTTAACATTTTTTTGTTACATTACTATTAAATACAGCATAAACTATATTCAACAAACACAATTTCAAAAAGGATGATATAGAAGTTAACCTTTATTTTCCATTTTTAAGCAGCTGTGCCTCTCATGACTTTCCAAAACAGGTCATATTCGTAGCCTAAGAACCGGTCATACTCCATATACGTGGAAACTCTAGTAGCCCGTGAATTAGCGTAACATTATCCGTGCACGTCATAATATTCATTTTTTTGTGGCGGAGTGCTGGACAACGACACCTCAATTTTTGGAGCAGCTCATTGACTAAATGTGTAATTGGCAATACATTTCGAATTCTTAGTAGCAGAAGTGATTAACTCAATTAATTATTTTCCATTGTTTGCCAATGATTAATTATTCATGAGCATGAGTATTCGATACGCAGTTTATGATCACGTGAACGATCACGGTTGCTCGTCGTCTCTATAAATATATACAGGGTGGGCCAAAAAACGCCACTTTTTTCAAGAAACTACAACTTTTTTATTTTCCAACCTTCATACCCCAAATGTTGCAGTTATATAGTGCCAAGGGTTCTTGGTAATAATATGATGTAACAAGTCCTTCAACTTGGATTATATTTGATCTAAAAGGGGAGTTCAATTGGTCCCCCACCCTAATTGATGATATGTTTTAGTTTTAGTCGCCTTGCTGATATTGCAGTATCAATGAAATGTTAGCTAAGTTTTTTTTCAACCTGTCTTAATTGCCCGCTTTAGTTGAGCAATTTTCTAGATTGGGTGCCTTCATACAATCTCCCGGAGACCTTCCAATACCCTATACTCACTGGGGTTTGCATCAGGTCTATTAGCTTGGCGATCATCAGGCCGTATCAGTTCAGGAACATTTGCCAATTATGCTTATTTCTCATGGCACACTACATGTTTAAGTGAGACGCTGGTGACGCATTTTATTCAATTAAAAGTGTATTATTCATGATCCATGGCTAGATAACAACCTCAAGTTTCATTTGGTATGCAAATTATGATTTAATATCAAAAATTAAAAAAAGTTATAGCATTTTGAAAAAAGTGGCGTTTTTTGGCCCACCCTGTAGTAATATTGGGTATGACTCCCAAGGTCGGCCTATATCGACAGAACTCTGACTGATTTCACGTCAACGTGACATAACCTCTAGATCTTTATATTAATCATTATAGATCTGAAACAACCACTGTCTGTAACCTCAAACAAAACATTCCAAGATTATGTAGGCGATATTAGAGAGCCCATCAGAATGGATGTCCTCACATATGTTTTGGTATGGTGGAGGAAACAGACTCACCTTTGGAAATTGATCATCATTGATTATTAATTGCATTACGTGTCAAAGAGAATCCCAAATTGAAGAGCTGGGGTGAACGACTGCACCAATGTGGAAATTGATCTTCATTAATGATAAAATACCCCGGTAAAATACGACCAAACTACAGTCCCAAATTAAGTGGAGATACACTGGGATATGGTCCCTAGCTTGATGAATTACCAGTAAAGGTTTGAAACCTTAGAGCATATGCATTGTGCATTTTCTTTCTGCGTTATCTTTACAATATACTGTATGCCATTATTGTTTATATTTGAATTTTGAATATACAGATAATCATTTAAAGATATGTGTTTGTAGTCGCTACAAATTGGTATACCTAATATATTTTGTATTGCCGTAAATTCTGTACATTTCATTGGATAAGTTTTCGTTTGTTTCCTTTAGTAGTTGTAGAAACAAGAGTTCTAGAGCAGTTGCATATTAATAACGTGAAATCATTAGAATAGCTTCTTGAATTTAACAAGGAGTCCAATTGGGAGGCACATAGGCTTTCATATTAGCCTCCCCGAGCGCCAGAGTCTTATAACAAGGAACCCAATGAGGAGGCACATTGCATTTCATATTAACCTCCCTAGCATTGAGTCAAATGTACAGTCACAGATGTTTTCAGGTACATCTAAATATCTCTTGAAAGATCATATTCAAATATATGGCTCATTAGGAATTCGACAATTTATAGTGTCTTCAAAAATTATAAGAGGGCATCGTGACATCTGAGAAGTATGACAAAAACAATTAATCAAACATTGACATTTAAAAACAAAGAAGCACGATGGTACATAGTTTAACCAATATCTGTAACAACAACAATTAAACACATAAACATTGCAACGTTTTCTTCTTGCTGTTATGGATGTTTTGTAATATTCCTGTTAATTATGAATATTTAATTGTATAATGATTATAAGCAATTGCGCATGTTTTGTTAGTAATATTATATTACCATTTTATTGTCGTACTTTAAACTTGCCCATGGGCTTTCATTTAGATAATAATTCTCATTTAATAATTATTCTAGTTGAAAGGCCGTGGCTTGCCGTACAGTTGACAATAAAACTATATTTTTTGAATTCATTGATTCTCTCGATCTGTTTCTTTGATCCTATTTTGTTCCTTATTTTATTATGAATTATGTCAAATGGGTGTCTGAATATTGAAGATTAAAACAAATTGGAGTTTCGTGTGTGTAGTATAATTCATCATTCAATTTCATTTTTCTGACATTCATGGTTTTCAATAACATAGCATTTTTATTTTGAAACAATTTTCAATAATATACTGAGCACCAAACCCAATGCGTCCCTCTTACAGACTATAGAAGCTGTATTAATATTTAAGATATGGCTAGTGAAAATAGTGCCTTGGAATATCAAACAAAATAAATTGTATGGATATTTTCCGGCAAATCTGGCCACCGTATTAGTACCAACAAAATGTTTCGAAAAGTAAGTCCAATGTCCTGTTTAAGAACTCCTGTTCTTACTTTTGAAAATGGATGCCACATTTTCTCGATCGATTCTCAACAAGTATATTCCTGTTGGATAGTATCGCTAGAATCAATTTACGAAAGTATGAATAGGGGTTCTGAAACTGCAGGACATAAAGCTTAACTAAGGCCTTTTTGAAGTTTTTGTTAAGCACTATAATATGTAACATCGACCAGTTTCAACCTAGCGAACGCCCGACGAAAATATACCCCCAAATGGATATTCTATTTTATTGAACGTATTTCTAAGATTTAGTTCACGGGTTAACTTAACTCTCACAAAGACACCATCGTGAGGAAATTCGGTTTACTGATTTTTGTTTGGAAATATTGATATTATTATAGATCAGTATAACAACACATAATAGCACAAGTTGGCAGAGGTAACAATTAAGAGCAGGAGGTACTTATATAATGCTGTTTGATTATTTGAGAGATTCTTCTTTAAAGGGTTCCGATAAGCATCCCGTATAAAAACAATATGGCGGCTCCAGGCGAATCGACTGGATCAGTCCATTTTTAAGAAATAAGGGGAGTTCTGTAAAATAAAGTTTATTGAAATTGTCTTTGAGATAAAGTAATCCGTTTAAAATGATTTTGAAAACATTATCCATAGAGTGATTGCGTTCAAAGAATATGTACAACAGCCAATTGATATAAATCCTTGTATTAGAACTGCTTTGTTTCATTTGTAGGATATTTCATATACCAAGCTGTGTGCTATTACGTTATGGGGAAATTTAGATGTCAATTTTTCCTTATTATACACAAATAGAAGATCCTGAAACTTCACCCATAAATGTGGAATTGATTTGTCAAAATAAAAATCACCCTTTTATAAATGTGTGACGATCTATAATATACTTATGCTATATAACAGTTAGAAGTGTTGACACAACGACCTCTAGCCTGTGAACCCTTGAGTATTATTCCGGGATCGGGCCTTTTATACTAAGCGGTGAGCAACACCAGAAACGAGCGTTCGATTTGCTAAACGATATGCGTCACCCTTTAACAAGACGGTTAGCAACCGTACCGTCGGTTCTATTGTCAAATTTAATCAGCGCCAAATCTAGAATTGCTCTTGAGAAATCAAGAATACGAGATACAAACGAGTATATGCACTAGAGGAAAGTTGAGATGAAGTTAATATTTTTCGGCATAATAATTGGAACTTTGATAGTAAATTCCGAAAGTAAGGATAATATTAATGGACATTCATTTGTATTGTTAAAAAACCAAAGATGTGAGACAAGTAATTTGCTTGCGATCCTGAGCAACGTTCGTTCCAGGCAAATCTGTCTTGGGGAATGTGTGGCATTGGCCCAATGCGCAAGAGTGAATTATGCGAAAAGTTCTATGACCTGCGAACTGATCCCGTCGAATGAGACAACGTGCTCAAATACTTTCGACACAAACTGGAACCATGCACACTTCCTATGTAAGAACCAATACAAACGAGACTGTCAGACGTTGCGAGAAAATGGCTGCAGGCAAAATGGCGTGTATACCATAAAACCAGATCCCACTAAAGCTAGCTTTGATGTTTTTTGTGACATGCACGACGGCGGGTGGACTGTTATCCAAAAACGTTATGATGGCAGCGTTGAGTTCCATGGCAAAAATTGGGCAGAATATAGATTAGGCTTTGGGACAGTTTCTACAGAATATTGGCTAGGTAATAGTAAAATTAATCGTATTACAAACTCAGCGAATTACCAAATCAAATTTGACATGCTGCCCTCTGACAATGAGTGGAGCGATGCAATATATTCATATTTCTCAATAAAAAATGCTACTGGGGATTTTGAAATGACAATAGGACCGTATGTAGGTGGAACAGCGCCTGATAGCATTGGGGGTTCGACAGCTGCTAATATGTTATTAAACGGGATGAAATTCTCCACAGTTGATCGTGATAACGACCTAGCGACGGGTGCATGTACTAACCCCTATGGTGGATCTGGTTGGTGGTACAACAGCTGTACTGGTGTAAACCTCAACGGCAATTACAGTTTCGATGGCATATATCATGACCGTCATCTAGGTGTCAAATGGGGGGGTTTAACACCGTATGACGGACCATCTCTAATGGCAACGGCCATGAAATTGAAGCGACAATCGTAGACGTGCTTGGTAGAATGACATCTGACATTAGGTTTTCAAATAAATATATAAGCACTAGTGCCAAAGGGAAAGGACCAAAAGTTGTACTGGAACTTAGCAAGGAAAAGCAAACTCTAAGTGCATACCAGTCAAGAAAAACAAACCCTATATCCCAAAACCATGATCTAACGTGAAAATAAACAATGTCTAATACCCCCTTTCCTCCACCATTCAAGAATCAATATCACAACCCAAGACCAGAAGACCAAGGGACATTTCATTTATACTGAAGTCATTACAATACATGTTGAAGAAAAAATTAGAAATTGATAGCCAATTGATAGCCAATACTCATAATCTCAAAAATTGTTGTAGATAAAGTACTCATACAGGATAGAGCATTCAGTCTCAAATGATATGGGAAAGATAAAATCCAGGGATCCAGGGATCCACCTCAAAAGGTGCCAAGTGAAAATATTGTGAGTTCATTGCCAATGTCTTAAACAATTCCTACATCCTTCAGCATCTCAAGTGGTAAAACTTGAAACTTCGAAATTAATGATTTGTATTTTTCAGCAAAGCCAAGAAAGAATTTATTAAGCTTTGTAGAATTATAACCTTGACCTAACAGTTTGATCACTAAAGTACTGTGCCTTGACTTAAAATCTAAATATTTAGAGCATTCCCTGTCATATCTAATAAGCTGGGATACATAGACCCCATATGCTGGATTTAATGGAATATTAATGTCTAAATAGATTCTTTGGAAGTGTTACTGTATATTTCGTCTAATCATTTCATTTCTTCTTATGAAATTGAACGTTTGCATACTTTCTGATGTGGAATTGCGTAGACGCTTCCCGGGAGGGGGGGGGGGTTCACTCTAAATAACTTGGGTAGGTATGTGCAGCACAGGCTTTTTGGCTTAGGGCATAAACCATGGAACCTGGGCAATCTAAGAGGAAAAAACATGGAAACATTGTCGAAGAAAGCCCTTTTCAAGTCAAAAATCAGTTTTTCTACAAAAATGGTTATAAATTTGTTAAATCAGTTGTTGAAGCCAGGGACAAATCACCCAAAAAGTGGATTTGGGATCTAATTTACCGATATTTCAGGTAAATTTACTCTCTCTTTAAGTCTGAGAGGAAGTATACATGAAAACGTTCATTCTTGAGAGGAAATTGACATGGAAAAATGCTTAAAAAGGGGGGAGGTCTTTGGCGCGGCACATAGGCTACATAGGTATTAAGAGGTACACTTCCCTCCATAAGTTTGGCAACCTTAACTCCCCCATTGAATTACGTGTTAAAGCCTCTTTACCTTTGACTTTTTATTTACTTAACCTGCGATGAAAATACTTATACTATTGATGGTAACGTAATTTGACTTTATTTCCAATACCTCCCCATTTTCTCATTTTTTTTCTCAATTACAATAGGTCGGAAATTGATGATAAATTTGATGAAATTTTGAAAATCGACATTACCATGTTAATCAATGTAAATTGGTAGATTTGCCGCAAATCATATGAAAGAATATCCATCCATCCGATTCCTTGCAAAAATACAAGTTAGGATGGTAATTGGATTTGCTAACTTATTTAACAAAAAATTGATACGTTTCTTCAGGTTCAACAAAGTTATAGGTCTTTCAAGTCAAAATTGTTCTTCAAAAAACCTCTCCCATTGAAATAACACAGGAGGCGATAAATGATTTTCAAAAATGATTTTGAAGCTCTGTAACTTAAGTATTCAGCAAGTAAACTAAACACTTAGTGTACAAAAATGTTAGACAATTCTATTTTCTATGCATATAACTAAATTTTTGCTGAATCTTTTACTGAATGAATATCCTGATTTCTGATTTGCCCCGAACCAACCACTTCCCACTGGGAATGACGATTTTCCAAAATATATCAAATTTATCATCAATTTTCGACATATAGTAATTGAGAAAAAAATTGGGAAAATTTGGAGGTTTTGGAAATAAAGTCAAGTTACGTTTCCATCAATATCATGAGTTATTTCACCGCAGGTTAAGTAAATTAAAATTCAAACATGAAGAGGCTTTAACACGTAGTTCAATGGGGTAGCTAAGGTTGCCAAACTTATGGAGGGGAGTCTTTATTGGAGTGAAACCCCAGGGTTACTCTTCAAATTACAGCTGTGTCTTTGCTTGGGAGAGGGGTCTTGAGCCAGCGTTAGCTTTAAGTGGTGACGTTTGTCGTTTGTAGTAGAGTTGAAACACACTCAAAGAGCCTTTTCACTATGTCAACAAAACAACTGGAATTATAATATAGCTATATTTCCTCAAATCACTTTATTGTCGACAATATTTTGAAAAAACACAACAAAATATAACACCCAGTCTGACACTACCATAGTTACCATGGCAACCAATAAAATAAAAATAAGATGTCATTGAAAAATGAAACTTTGTCAGTGTTATATTCGATGTACAAGATATATTGTATGCAAAACATTATATAGAAAGGATTAATTTTTTAATACACCGCTGGAGTGTCAGCTTTAAGAATCGAACCTCCATTTGAATTTTTGATGAATACAAATATATATCAACCCTTTTATCCCCAAGGAGTCATTTAATAATTATGTAATTACATTTCAAAATGACGAATAGACCTATACTATGGCCAGAATAGATTATGTATGGGTTTATAATAACTAATTTACTGATGTCAAATTATACCATGGAGAATATCTAAGAGTTTATGTTATGCACCCTTGACTTAACACGGGGTAACATCATTTTACTTTTGACCTCTTTATCTTTCTGAATATTTCTAAAAAGGATCTTTGACCTCTATTTCCATACCTACTTACTCATTCAGGATATTTTTTATTTCACTCTAATGTAGAATTCCATATCAAACATTTTCAAATATATTTGGGTATAAAGTTCAAACAGAAAATGTGAACATAACCACAGTTCAAACAGCACAATTATAAAGTGATGTGTTGCTAAGGCCACACAATTTCTTGTTATGGACTTTTAGATTGAAACTATAAACCGATTGCCAACACAATTTTTTTCAGCATAATTTGATTGAAAAGGCATTATTTATTAATTTTACCCCTTGGTGATGAAAGGATTAATATCTAATTTTGAATTCAGTGAAAATTTGAATGGATGTTAGATTCTGACACTCTCGACTTTCCAACGTTGTATTGGTACCTCAGTGCAGAACAGGTAATTTAGAAATCACCAAGGATCGAACCATAGACTGAAGCTCTATTTTGCACAAGTTCATTCTGGGCCTAATATAAAATATAGTTTAAAATGTGACAACTGGTCGGATAGCATGTTATTTAATTTACTTCGAATATTTCTTCATTGTCCATATTATCAGCACATTAGTGAACTGTTCAGCGACAATGTTCTCACATAGAGTAGCAAAGTGCATAAACACTGGTCCAGAATGAAACCAAGAGAGAATTGAAAATTTTGCGTCAAATATTTTACACGCTTTAGCTGCACTGTAACTTTTCTGCCACCTTGATATATAGTTAATCATTACTGCTACTGCGTTGCTTTCCTTGCTTTGCAACGCAATACTAGCAAAATAAGATTCTTGTAGCCTATTCTGAAGTACTTGTTCGCAACGATATAACAAATACAATCCAATCCTGGTTGCATATGGCCAAGTAGGTTAGCAAAGGCCAAGAAATCTCTTCCATAATTGACAATATGATGCGACAGAAGGCCAATTACAAATGGGGTCCAAATGAAGAACGCCGCAAAAAGGCATGAGAGCATCTTCACAGTGATCATCACATAGTTCAGGTAATGTTGGAGTTCTTCTGACTTCTCATCCACGGTATTGTGCAAATGTTCTTCCTCAGGGGCAGGAAGGAAAGTACTCATCAAGAGAACATTAGGAGCGATCACGGCGAACTAAAGTACATAAATATTGAATTTTCGTCAAAAGAACTCAACGGTACTGTTTACTGTATAGGGGCTCATATGGTAGCCAAAGGTGGGCCCGTCAGTGAGCAAATTTGAACCACATTATTTATCTCGGGAAACATGTCAGATTTAATGATTTGGAACTTTGACGCCCAAAAAGCGACCATTATGGATAGCTTTTCTAGGTTTTATACCCCCCGAGGTTATTTTCGAGGGGGTCTCAACTCTTTTTTAATAACTTTAAAAATATTAAAGATATGTGTCTGAAACTTGCAGGGTACCTTCCTGGGGTCAACACATAGATGTATTGAAAGTTTAGGATTATTTGGGATAACGGTTGCTATAGCAACCAAAAAAATGTGTTTCCGAACTGGCAATTTACAGCAATTTTGGCCTGTAGCAACCTGGTTGAAGTTAGATATTTTTTCTATTGATGAATTTTCACATTGTTAATTGGTTTCAAAAATACACTACAACTATATTCTTTCATTTTATTGTAGATTAGAATTGACACCATTAGTATTAAAGGTCCATAATCGTACATGAATGAACCCACCCCCCAAAGTCTATAAAAAGTGGGCGTGGCACCAGACATGTACCAGTTTATAATTCATAAGTTTAAACACCCAATAAATAATGTTGTTATTTATGTTACCATCTTTCCAGTGGTAGTTGAAGAAGTTCGTTTAAAAAACTAGATATATTACCATGGAAACCATATATTTATGTTGCCATAGCAACAGAACTATGGTAATGAAAGAGCCAATAATTTGATCGAAGCCCTCCTGCATGTGGTCCCATATATACAAAAAAATCAAATGTCCTGTATCTCTCAAAGATCTTAAAACCTTCCTGGGGTCAACACAGAGCTGTATTGAAACTTTGGGACTATTTGGAGTAATGGTTGCTATAGCAACTAAGAAAATATGTTTCCGAGCTGGACAATTTATGGCAATTTTGCCCCACTGCAACTTGGTTGAAGTTTGATATTTTTTCTAGTGATGAATTTTCACATTGATTTCAAAAACCACTACAACTGTATTCTTTCATTTTATTGCAGATTAGAAGGACACCATTAGTATGAAAGGTCCATAATCATACATGAATGAACCCCCCCCCAAAGTCTATAAGAAGTGGGCGTGGCACCAGACATGTACCACTTTGTAATTCATGAGTATAATAAAAACCCAATAAATAAAAACCCAATAAACAATGTTGATATTTATGTTACCATGTTTCCAGTGGTAGTTGAAGAAGCTCTCCTAAAAATATAATAATCATATAATAAATATATACATATAATATCATATATAAATATATTATCATGGAAACCATACATTTATGTTGCCATAGAAACAACTTTGGTCTGTTAACGCAAGGCTTAATGAAATTATTGTTAATTTGACTATTCATTTGGCCATTTAGAAAAAACAACAAATGTATGAGTAAACTATATTGGCTGAATATATATCTTAGTAGTTTACATTCTTTGAAGTTCACATTTGTATGAGATACTATTCTAGTATATCTGACACATCTCTATTCTATAGTGATACTTTTACATTTGTTTGCAGAACGTGATATGTGATAGGCCCCAGAGTGATGGCACTCAGAAGACTGCATATGATATCAAATGAAGCTTGAAAAAGAGATAAGTAATACAGCATACTATGACCCTGTCATTTAACCAACATATGAAGCTGTAAAGTTCTTAAACCAGTCTATTTCAGTTCTCCTCAGTCCTTTTTGAAAACTTCACCTATATAATTTTGAAGCTCAAATGTGGGTTCTGACTCTTCCGGATCTGTCATAGCTGGCCTCATCACATCAACAAGATCTTGTCATAATATATTTGATGTGCACCAGTCTAGTTCTAGTACACAAGATTTCAACCCATTGCCTCTGGGAGATGAGAGTACAGGCTTGTGTTACACACAAACTCTTCAATTACAGCCTGTGTTTCAGTTGTAATATTTGTAGATGACCCAATACATTAATTGAATGCATCTTGGAAACATAAATATCAACATTATTTATTGGGTTTTTATACTCATCAAAGTGGTACATGTCTGGTGCCACGCCCACTTCTTATAGACTTGGGGGGGGGGGGTTCATTCATGTATGATTATGGACCTTTCATACTAATGGTGTCATTCTATTTTGCAATAAAATGAAAGAATACAGTATGTAGTGTGTTTTTGAAACCAATTATCAATGTGAAAATTGATCACTAGAAAAAAATATCAAACTTCAACCAAGTTGAATTGGGGCAAAATTGCCATAAATTGTCCAACTCGGAAACACATTTTCTTGGTTGCTATAGCAACCATTACTCCAAATAATCCCAAAGTTTCAATACAGCTCTGTGTTGACCCCAGGGAGGTTTTAAGATCTTTGGGAGATACAGGACATTTGATTTTTGTATATATGGGACCACATGCACGAGGGCTTCGATCAAATTATTGGCTATTTCATTACCATAGTTCTGTTGCTATGGCAACATAAATATATGGTTTCCATGGTAATATATCTAGTTTTTTAAAAGAACTTCTTCAACTACCACTGGAAACAGGGTAACATAAATATCAACATTATTTATTGGGTATTTAAACTTACGAATTACAAACTGATACATGTCTGGTGCCACGCCCACTTTTTATAGACTTTGGGGGGTGGGTTCATTCATGTACGATTATGGACCTTTAATACTAATGGTGTCAATTCTGATCTGCAATAAAATGAAAGAATACAGTTGTAGTGTGTTTTTGAAACCAATTAACAATGTGAAAATTCATCAATAGAAAAAATATCTAACTTCAACCAGGTTGCTACAGGCCAAAATTGCTGTAAATTGCCAGTTCGGAAACACATTTTCTTGGTTGCTATAGCAACCGTTATTCCAAATAATCCTAAACTTTCAATACAGCTATGTGTTGACCCCAGGAAGGTACCCTGCAAGTTTCAGACACATTTCTTTAATATTTTTAAAGTTATTAAGAAAGAGTTGAGACCCCCTCGAAAATAACCTCGGGGGTATAAAACCTAGAAAAGCTATCCATAATGGTCGCTTTTTGGGCGTCAAAGTTCCAAATCATTAAATCTGACATGCTTCCCGAGATAAATAATGTGGTTCAAATTTGCTCACTGACGGGCCCACCTTTGGCTACCATATGAGCCCCTATGTAGTGTAAATGTTTAGGGATCAATTATTGGAAATAATTATGTATATATGCATGAATATTAGGCCTATAGCGATGTCATGTCCTACTGAATGTTTTACGATAACTCCTAAACTGGGGGCAAAACATAATTGTCTCCCTTTTCCCACATATGTGCGATTTCATGTCCTACTGAATATTTTACGATAACTCTTAAACTGGGGGCAAAACATCATTACCTCCCCTTTCCCCACATGTGTGCAATTTCATGTCCTACTGAATATTTTACGATAACTCTTAAACTGGGGGCAAAACATAATTGTCTCCCTTTTTCCCACATATGTGCGATTTCATGTCCTACTGAATATTTTACGATAACTCTTAAACTGGAGGCAAAACATCATTACCTCCCCTTTCCCCACATGTGTGCGATTTCATGTCCTACTGAATATTTTACGATAACTCTTAAACTGGGGGCAAAACATAATTGTCTCCCTTTTTCCCACATATGTGCGATTTCATGTCCTACTGAATGTTTTACGATAACTCTTAAACTGGGGGCAAAACATCATTGTCTCCCCTTTTCCCCACATATGTGCGATTTCATGTCCAACTGAATATTTTATGATAACTCCTAAACTGGGGGCAAAACATCATTGTCTCCCTTTTCCCCACATATGTGCAATTTCATGTCCAACTGAATATTTTATGATAACTCCTAAACTGGGGGCAAAACATCATTGTCTCCCTTTTCCCACATGTTGGCGATTTCATGATAACTCTTAAACTGGGGGCAAAATATCATTACCTCCCCTTTCTTCACATGTGTGCGATGTCATGTCCAACTGAATATTTTATGATAACTCTTAAACTGGGGGCAAAACATCATTGTCTCCCCTTTTCCCACATATGTGGTCTCCCTTTCCCCACATATGTGCAATTTCATGTCCAACTGAATATTTTATGATAACTCCTAAACTGGGGGCAAAACATCATTGTCTCCCTTTTCCCACATGTTGGCGATTTCATGATAACTCTTAAACTGGGGGCAAAATATCATTACCTCCCCTTTCTTCACATGTGTGCGATGTCATGTCCAACTGAATATTTTATGATAACTCTTAAACTGGGGGCAAAACATCATTGTCTCCCTTTTCCCCACATATGTGCAATTTCATGTCCAACTGAATATTTTATGATAACTCCTAAACTGGGGGCAAAACATCATTGTCTCCCTTTTCCCACATGTTGGCGATTTCATGATAACTCTTAAACTGGGGGCAAAATATCATTACCTCCCCTTTCTTCACATGTGTGCGATGTCATGTCCAACTGAATATTTTATGATAACTCTTAAACTGGGGGCAAAACATCATTGTCTCCCCTTTTCCCTACATATGTGCGATTTCATGTCCTTCTGAATATTTTACGATAACTCTTAAACTGGGGGCAAAACATCATTACCTCCCCTTTCCCCACATGTGTGCGATGTCATGTCCAACTGAATATTTTATGATAACTCTTAAACTGGGGGCAAAACATCATTGTCTCCATTTTCCCCACATATGTGCGATTTCATGTCCAACTGAATATTTTATGATAACTCCTAAACTGGGGGCAAAACATCATTGTCTCCCTTTTCCCACATGTGTGCAATTTCATGTCCTACTGATCATGTTATGATTACTCCTAAACTGGGGGCAAAACATAATTGTCTCCCTTTCCCCACATGTGTGCGATTTCATGTCCATCTGAATATTTTATGATAACTCTTAAACTGGGGGCAAAACATCATTGTCTCCATTTCCCCACATGTGTGCAATTTCATGTCCTACTGAATATTTTACGATAACTCTTAAACTGGGGGCAAAACATCATTACCTCCCCTTTCCCCACATGGGTGCGATGTCATGTCCTACTGAATGTTTTACGATAACTCTTTAACCGGGGGCAAAACATCATTGTCTCCCCTTTCCCCACATGTGTGGTCTCCCTTTTCCCTTATGTGTGCGATTTCATGTTCTACTGATCATTTCATGATAACTCTTAAACTGGGGGCAAAACATCATTGTCTCCCTTTTCCCTTATGTGTGCGATTTCATGTCTTACTGATCATTTTATGATAACTCCTAAACTGGGGGCAAAACATAATTGTATCCCTTTTCCCTACATATGTGCGATTTTATGTCCAACTGAATGTTTTACGATAACTCTTAAACTGGGGGCAAAACATAATTGTATCCCTTTTCCCTTATGTGTGCGATTTCATGTCCTACTGAATATTTTACGATAACTCTTAAACTGGGGGCAAAACATAATTGTATCCCTTTTCCCTTATGTGTGCGATTTCATGTCCTACTGAATATTTTATGATAACTCTTAAACTGGGGGCAAAACATCATTGTCTCCCTTTTTCCACATGTGCGCAATTTCATGTCCTACTGAATATTTTATGATAACTCTTAAACTGCGGGCAAAACATCATTGTCTCCCCTTTTTCCACATGTGCGCAATTTCATGTCCTACTGAATGTTTTACGATAACTCTTAAACTGAGTCCCCTTTTCCTACATGTGTCAAACCAGCAATTGTTGGATGTTTTGAATATCATTCCTGAAAAAATGGGGAGAGTTCTCAAGTACATTTCTATAGGACGGTAGACTTTGTCCCCGAACCCTGTGGATCAACAGAGCTTGTTTTGTTTATTTACAGCCATACATGATTTTGTGGTCTGACCTACTTGTAGCTAAACGAATTTCAATGACGTCACACCGAAGCGGGGAATAACTCTGGGATGAAAAACAAAAACTCCCTTTTAGAAAATAAATATTCATAGCACACGATCGAGATAAAGTCTTGCCACCAAAAAGCAAGGGGTCGGGAAAACAGTATCTAGAGTCTATGCGAAAAGTAAAGGGGATGCTGAGCGTTTTATCATAATAACTTGACTCCTAACCATTCAACGATTTCCATTTACGCAAGCTCGGAAACAGAAATTAAAAAAATTACATTGTAATCTTAGAATTGTGATTTTATTTGTTGTTGTTATTAACATAAACCGAAATTTTGCTTCAGAATGATGTATAGATGTATTTGTTTCCCCAGTGATTGATCCAGGGACTCAATTTATAATAGAGCAAAGGGTCGAAATAACTCAGCGTTGCTAGCCATTTTAATAAATCAAAACATTTACTTACATCCTGTTTCTTTCCTTTTATTACTTTCACTCGGACACCCGTCATGACGACGGCCGTGAATGTGGCAAATATTGGAATCAGAAGGAATACAGAGATATACATGTTAGAAGGAACGTAGTCCACATCCACCAAACAGATCATACTCTCTGGGTCGTATTCCAAATTAGTCCAGTCTGTTAATAAGGGAATCATGCTCAGAATTGTCACAAGCCATGGTATAAAAGCAATAATTGGTGTTGTCTTCCATGTAAAAATCCGGACGTACAGTTTCGGGAACCATATCAAAATCATTCTAAAAGATAAAGAGATTGTCGCAAATCAGCGCTAATTGAGTTAATGGTCAATGGTGGTCAAAATGCTTAATTCATTAATTGTAAACTATAACTTTGATTGGTTGTAAATTGAAGTCATTCAATGCAGCAGGGGATCCATTTAACTTCTGTTTTGAACCATCTTTAACTTCACGATAGGAACTTAATGAAGCGTCTTTTATCACAATTACTTAAGGGATAATATGTAAAATCACGAACCAACGCCATCTCTTCCATTCTAAATTGAAGATATGGTCTTGGTAACGAGATAAGTTAAATCATGTAGTTCTAATCACTTGAGGTCCATTAATAAATACATATATCGTATACCTGTTAATAGTCAGTCCGGTTACATTGAAGAATGCGCTAGCGCATGATATCCAGCACACTGATGCTAGGAATTCACAAGTCTTTGGTCTATGGTAGAAAAACTCCTCTCCTAATAGCACCCCTGTGTTTACGAAACATAAACCGAAGAACATGATATACGTTTCATATCGACATACATATCGCAGGTAGACTAAGGGCTAGGCACAAACGTTTTCTTTATCCCGAACGACTGGTGAAGGGAGAGAGGGGCTGAAGGCTTTTGTGCCTAACCCTAAGGTATTTATTACTCGATATAATACATTGACTTTGTTCACAGTTTTTTGAAGTCGTGAATAGTGTCATGTTCGATTGTATTACAGATAGAAAATTGTAGATAATATCATTCTCATTCTGAACATTTATATTGCGTTTATTTATTCCATTCACGTTTTCTTACGTTTTTAAGGGCGATCACTTTTTGAATACAATTAAAAAGGTTGATACAGTCAGGAAAGTATACTGGTATACTGGCGAAACGCCCAATAGAACAAAAACAACAATTTAATTAGTCTTTCAATTCATTATGAACAGTTTGTATCTTGATTCTATTCCCTATAAAGTCCGCAACGTTTCAATGTTATATTTCCATCACATTGGGTCAAAATTTGATGTCAAAATTGATGAATTTCATGAAATTTAACAAAAATGGCAGATCCCATGTTAAACAAATGGGGAATGGTGGCTTGGGGGCAACTCTGATTTTGGAATATCTATTCAGCAAAACATTTATTAAAAATACTTTCTAAGTAGTAAATTGAATGATTTTACATTTTACATGCTAAATGTCTCGCTTATGTTGTTGGAATTAGCGATACGGAGCATTAAAGTAATTTTGACCACCTCACTGAACCACCTGTGTTATTTCAATAAGAGGTTCATTAAAAAATTATTGAATTTGAAACCATTAACTTTTGTCTGAACTATTAAATCATATTTTTGTCGAGTGGACAATTTAGCAAATTTAATTATCTCTTACAATTTCAATTTTGAGAGCAATCGGATGGACGGATCGTTCCTCATATGACTTATGGCAACCCAACCATTCCCCATTTGTTTAACATGGGATCTGCCATTTTTGTTAAATTTCATGAAATTCATCAGTTTTAACATCAAATTTTGACCCAATGTAATGGAGATAGAACATTGAAATGTTGCGGACTTCATAGGGAACAAGGCATTAACATGACAAAATGTCACCACCTAGTTGCTCACAATATTATGAGTTCAAACTTAAGTCAGATTTGAATTTCTGAGAACTTGTAAAGTCAAATTTGAACTTCTGAAAAGATGTAGATGATTTTGAAAAAAAAAGATTTGGTCAATTTGAAGCAAGTTGAACACAGACCTTTTTGAACTTTTTTGACCTTGAGAAGGTCATTAAAGGTCAAATGTCAAATCTAAAGTCAGATTTGAATTTCTGAGAACATGTAGATGATTTTGAAAAAAAAGATTAGTCAATTTGAAGCAAGTTGAAAAAAGACCTTTTTGACCTTTTTTGACCTTGAGAAGGTCATTGAAGGTCAAATGTCAAATCTGAAGTCAAATCTAAAGTCATATTTGAATTTCTGAGAACATGTAGATGATTTTGAAAAAAAATTTAGTCAATTTGAAGCAAGATGAAAAAATACCTTTTTGACCTTTTTTGACATTGAGAAGGTCATTGAAGGTCAAATGTCAAATCTAAAGTCAGATTTGAATTTCTGAGAACATGTAGATGATTTTGAAAAAAAAATTTAGTCAATTTGAAGCAAGTTGAAAAAAGACCTTTTTGACCTTTTTTGACTTTGAGAAGGTCATTGAAGGTCAAATCTTAAGTCAAATCTAAAGTCTGATTTGAATTTCTGATTACACGTAGATGATTTTGAAATTTTTTTTAGTCAATTTGAAGCAAGTTGAAAACAGACCTTTTTGACCTTTTTGACCTTGAGAAAGTCATTAAAGGTCAAATGTCAAATCTAAAGTCAGATTTGAATTTCTGAGAACATGTAGATGATTTTGAAAAAAAATTAGTCAATTTGAAGCAAGTTGAAAAAAGACCTTTTTGACCTTTTTTTACCTTGAGAAGGTCATTGAAGGTCAAATGTCAAATCTAAAGTCATATTTGAATTTCTGAAAACATGTAGATGATTTTGAAAAAAAAATTAGTCAATTTGAAGCAAGATGAAAAAATACCTTTTTGAACTTTTTTGACATTGAGAAGGTCATTGAAGGTCAAATGTCAAATGTAAAGTCAGATTTAAATTTCTGAGAACATGTAGATGATTTTGAAAAAAAAATTTAGTCAATTTGAAGCAAGTTGAAAAAAGACCTTTTTGACCTTTTTTGACTTTGAGAAGGTCATTGAAGGTCAAATGTCAAATCTTAAGTCAAATCTAAAGTCAGATTTAAATTTCTGAGAACACGTAGATGATTTTGAAAATTTTTTTTAGTCAATTTGAAGCAAGTTGAAAACAGACCTTTTTGACCTTTTTTGACCTTGAGAAGGTCATTGAAGGTCACATGTCAAATCTTAAGTCAAATCTTAAGTCAGATTTGAATTTCTGAGAACACGTAGATGATTTTGAAAAAAAAATTTAGTCAATTTGAAGCAAGTTGAAAACAGACCTTTTTGACCTTTTTTGACCTTGAGAAGGTCATTGAAGGTCAAATGTCAAATCTAAAGTCAGACCTTTTTGACCTTGAGAAGGTCATTGAAGGTCAAATGTCAAATCTAAAGTCAGATTTGAAGGTCAAATGTCAAATCTAAAGTCAGATTTGAATTTCTGAGAACATGTAGATGATTTTGAAAAAAAATTTAGTCAATGTGAAGCAAGTTGAAAAAAGACCTTTTTGACCTTGAGAAGGTCATTGAAGGTCAAATGTCAAATCTAAAGTCAGATTTGAACTTCTGAGAACATGTAGATGATTTAGAAAAAAATTGAAGTCAGTCTAAACAGTATTTGTTAAGTTATAGGAAGTTGTAAGAAATTGTTACAGACGCCGGACGCCAACCGCCGGACGCCAACCGCCGTCGCAAAAAAACGGAGACCATAACAATATGTCACCACTTTTGGTGGTGACATAATAAAATCAAGATACAGATTTATTTTCTTTATTGTGATTCCTTTTGTTCCACGCTTAGAAAATAGTCGTTCAAACAAAAATGGGGGTTAACATGTAAACCTATGAGGAAAACCACTGGTCCTTAACTTTTTTTGAGGAGTATATTTCAACCAAATATCAAGCATTTTGAATAAATATTGCTTTTGGAACCACTTGACATCCTATCATGATTCTCGATGTCCAAGTTGTTCCAACTCCAACTATCATATGACCTTGACCTTGAAGTCGAAGTTCACCATAGGCTTATTGACATTTTGACTAATTAGACTAACCCGCTATGCTAAATGGAAGCACCAGTCCTGCGACCAATATGTCTGCAGTAGCTAATGAAACGATAAACATATTTTCAGGAACTCGCAGAACCTGAAAACAATTAATTCTACTATACCTATCACACCTCAATGAGAGTTATAATTATCTATAGGGCAAACAGGTCAGAATACAAGGGCTCAAATAGTTTACAGACCAAAGATTGTAAGATATCAAACATTGACAACTGGTAGAATATATGTCATGTCCAAATGAACAACCCTGCATTATATAAATAACCGGATCCCTCAACCTTATTGGCTTATTTTAATCGTATCGACACAGAGAGCCTTTTTGAGTGAAAATGTGGTGTCAGTATTTGATCTTACCTTCTCGCGCACAATCGAAATGATAGCAAGAATATTTCCAAATACTCCTAAAATGCAGAATGTTACAGCGAAGAACATGTAAACTGCAAACTTTCCCGGAGAATGTTCAGCATAAGGAGGATATGTCAATAGATAGCTCTGATCCGATGAATTTGTTGTATTGATATTACTCAAATGTGCTATGTGAAACTCCATGTTTTCCCCTTCCTCTATTTAACAATTACGTTTTGCGTAATTTCGTCAACAGTTGTCTAGACTATCGTCATCAAAACGTTTATGATCGATATTATGGTACCGCACATCCACGGAGTATTTACAAACGATAAATAAGTAAATTGAAAGAAATGAATGCTAGACAAGAAAATAAATTAATGTGCTTCAATTTCGAGTGAAATATATATTGTATTGAATGACACATGAATAATATCATGCGGGTCAAAGATGTTCTTATATAAGTAAATTGACATAACTGTATGCCAAACACGAATGTAACTCCCTCGATTTCTGGTAAAATATATTGTATCAAACATGAAAAATATCATGCGGGTCAAAATACTCAAATTACATGAATGATGTAGACGCGATTTGAATTCTTTAGTGTGGTGTATTCTAAACGCATACACGCGATTTCAAAGTAATCTTATTTCATTTTTCATGCAGTAATGATACATAATATACAGACTACGACACCCAGATGTATATCTGCCCATAATAATGTTTACATAATAGCAAGAACACTGTAAATTTACATATGTGGTACATACTACAATGTGATTTAATGATATAAAAATGCAGAAATAAAAATACAAAGTTAATGTTGTTGAAAAAATATAATGCATTGACAATTTGTGTGATTTGCATATTGTTATTCATGACTTTAAGTTAGTAGGTCAGTTTTTAAATGGTATAACAACCTGCTGCTTACGGTTTGGTTTTTACTACAACATTATCTATGGAATTCCATACATAAGCACTATGTATGCACTTTCATAGAATTTTCTCCGTTATTGTTCCTGAATTTACAAGGTGCAGTTTCATTGGTAGTCTGGACGTTTTGCAGTTTTTCTCACCTGTCTATACGCTCATCACGTTTCCAGCAATTGACTCATCCATTTAGTTTTTATGTCAACACCACGGTGGTTGGTGGTTGTCAAGTATGGTTAGCATTTCAGTCAAACGCGAGTTTTATCATTCAATATACTCTACAGGTAGTATTCATAAGTATAGAAATCAATTGGCATCATTCCATTTCCTTAGTATTTCATTCACTATTTCACTCACTGTCCACTCATATAAATACCTTTGCATTTGTGAACCACGTTTATCTGTTGTGCGTTTTCCTGTGAAGTCAAGTGTGAACATGTTCGTGTAGTGTCGATGTCATCTACCTTGTCATAACACGTGGCGTGACTTTGTACAATATGTGGTCAACATTTGTGAAACATACTGAGGTATTTATTTAGTATATATTCCTTACAATATTTCCTTTGTGTTTATTTATTGTAATTGCTAAATTGTACAAGGATAAGTTATATTGTACAAGGATAAGTTATATTGTTCAAGATAATTATAATTTTCTTGTATTCGGTGTTCACTTATATGGCATATTATTCTTAGCATCCATTGGTTATCTGTACCAGTTTAGGGAACTAGTTGAAAATATTATATTTCGTATATTCTAGAAACGTGTGTCTTAGATAGGTTTATTATCCATTTCTTTATAGTTTTGGTGTAGTATGTAGCTGTCAACGAGAAACGTATCTGCGTATGTGCACAGACTGTCTCCTTGTATTGTCTCGTGCGTCTATAAACTGTGTCTGAGTTGTATCAGTGTAATATTGGACTAGTGTAAGATGTCTACCAACACGTCCAGCCTGTATCCTCACGTGGTGAACGTGATATTAGACTCTCGTTAATTCACGTGCAATGCATTATCTACTATTACGTCTGTCTACGTACAGCATAAAACCAAGTGACTATTATCACATTCATAGACTCTTACGTCGATGTGAATATAAACCGACTCGAGTAAGAAGTCTACCAACACGTCCAGCCAGTATCTTCACGTGGTGAACGTGATATTAGACTCTCGATAGTTCACGTGTTTTGTATCATCTACCATAACGTCCGTCTTCGTACAGCATAAGCCCAATAACCTTCCACGTATCCAGTGTGCACGTTTTGCAGCATCAGCCGTCCAGTTTTATGTGTAGTATTAGTGTACTTTGTCTATTTTGGTAATTAATGATTTGTGATTATAAATACAATATAGTAATTTGTTTAATGAAATCAGACACTTAAGTTCATTTATTAGTTTTATTGAACCTGACAACTTGACAGTGGTTTGCGGTTCATGGTTGGCGATCGGAGGGTGGCGGTTGGCGTTTGTAACAAATTCTTTTAAATTCCAATAATTTAACAATACTGTTTGGACCCATTTCAATTTTTCCAAATCATCTACAAGTTTTTAGAGTTTCAATCTGACTTTAAATTTAAGATTTGACCTTCAATGACGTTTTCAAGGTAAAAAGGTCAAAAGGTAATTTTCAGCTTGCTTCAAATTGACCATTTTTTCAAAATCACCGACTCGGACATACTACTTCTTAACGTCGAGATCATGATACTATAAGTTATTGAATGATTTGAAGTGCAATACAGGATATATTCTGCTCGAGAAATTCCGTATTGGAACGAGACGTAGTCGAGTGCCAATACAGAATATCGAGAGTAGAATATATCCTGTATTGCACTTCAAATCATTCTATAACGTTTTATCGTGTGATCCTCTGCATTGCTACTGAGAATGTCATCATCTATTTGATATATTTGTCAACCACAAATGGTTTGAGTGAAATTATTCATATTGGAGACTGGTAAATGTAATATGGAAAGGTTTGTTAAAAGATTTCAATCGATTTGTCAAATTGTTTTACATCTTCGTAACAAAAGCATCATGATAACCCAACACATACCTCAAAGAAGATACACAATGAGGTCAATGCTGAAAACACCGCGTTTTTGTCATATAGTTCAGTTCAGTTCAGTGTCTTTATTTCCTCCACATAGGTGAAGATTTAAACATTACATATAATTACAGACAATTCATATTAACAGATTATTTACATTTGTACATATTAAATGTTACATATAGATTTACATTTAGAGTTTTTACATTTCTGTTTGTTTGATTACTGTTTTCACCATTAGATCAATGTAATATTATGTACTATTCAATAGGAACTGTTCAATTGTACCAATTTTTGGCAATTTTGAAGTACATCAGTCGTGCTTCCTAATAACGTTTCTACTATAATACCTTCTTGTTTCCCAAAACATCCCTCACTCTTTTAACCACGCTACAAAAGCATTTTGAGAGAACGTTACACTATTTTGTCAAAGAGACGTATAGGTGACTGATATCCCCTCACTTTAAATGTCAAATCATTCGATCACCTATATTGATTACTGAGGACTATAGCTGAAGAAATTGATTCAAGCATTATTCGAAAATATGGTTCAATAAAAACATTCTTGGCAATATCAACTACAACTTATTCACTCAAAACAAAATCATTCAACAACTTAACAGGTCAATAACTCATCTTTATTGAAAGATAGTAGCTACCATCGATTAGCAAATTGACAACTCATTTCATTTTCCAAGATAATCATTATTTCAATGACAACTTCCTAAATTTTTCGCGTAAAATTGAAATGATTGCAAGAATATTTCCGAATACTCCTAAAATGCAGATTGTTACAGCGAAGAACATGTAAACTGCAAACTTTCCCGGAGAATGTTCAGCATAAGGAGGATATATCAATAGATAGCACTGATCCGATGAATTCGTTGTATTGATATCGTGTGGCAAAGTGACATGCCACGGTGCGTTACAGGTCCCTAGGTTTAGTACCTAATAATGACAGGTCCCTAGTTTTAGTTTTAAAGGAGAACGCTGGTGGAGCTGCAATCGTTTGAACAAAATATCAAATGTTTGAAAGGTGATGGATCTGTATTAGAGTTAAGACTTCATCCAGAGTTATGAGTGTAATGATATTCTGATGGTACTTGTGAACATAGCACGTTTGGTCAGGGATCCACACCATTGGTATACTTTTTGGAAGACAAGCAGTGCACGGAGTGGACAGGTGTCTACTATTGTCAACTAGGTTGGATTACTGCATTTTTTGATCGTTTATGGGATACGAGGGGTGATCAATAAGTAATGGACGCTTTTTTCCACAGATACTTTTTATGGACCAATCCCTTTGATTTTCCTTCCAGTGATACATCATTCAATTATCTATCAATTCTGAATATTTGAAGACAAAATATAAAATATATGTTGATCTATCCTTATTTCCGTAAAGGAGGTACAGGTACCCCGGGACCGACATTTACGTCACATATCCAGTTTTCAGCCAGTTTGGCAAATTTCAGTTACATTTAAACTTTTTTTTATATGCAACAAGTGTTGTGTTGTTTGAAATATTTTGCTGACTGTTTACACGTAAACAGTAAGTGATGTGATGTCAGAGTGTTGTATGGTTGGGGTTTGCAGGTCAATTTGAGGAAGCATTGTGGAAGAAGGGGTTGGTAAAAGAAGGAAACATCCCACTCCATATGGACAATTCACCTGCCCACATATCTCAAAATGTTCAGAAAACAATATCCATGGACCTCAAAGTTGAGCCCTTGGTCAATGCACCATATTGTCCAGATCTGCCCACATGTGACATATTTATTCCTATACTACTTATTTCTATAGAGAAGGGACGCAGGTTTATTGACATTGATGAAATAAAACAACCCGTGCAACTGCATCTTGCTACTATGTCAGAGAATGGATTCAGCCTTGTCTCACAATATCGTGAGTTAGGAGGATGAGGAATTGTGTACATGTAGCACTTGGTGGAACCTATGTAGAGGGCCCTGTAGAATGAATGTGGCATGAATACCACATAGTGATGATAAAATATTCAAAATCAACTATGGCATAACAAAGTGGGGTAATTCATGACCATAATGGTTTGTTTTGTTCAGTCTGCATTCAACTGTGTTGCATGTTAAACAAGCTAAAATAACTTCAGAATGTTTGACGTAAATGTCGGTCCCGGGGTACCTATACCTCCTTCACGGAAATAAAGATATATCAAAATATATTACATGTTTTGTTTTCAAATCTTCAGAGTTGATAGATAATTGAATGATGTATCACCGGTAAGAAAATCGAAGGTATTGGTCTATAAAAAGCATCGGTGTAAAAATGCGTCCATTACTTATTGATCACCCCTCGTACAGTCCTGTTGCCCTTTTTCGTCACACGATGGTATCTACGTACATGTCACAGTTGTAATAAACTACGTCATCAACAACAATTATACTTGTGTTATCTGTATACGACCTGCTACCAACCGCACTTGGTCACACTTAAATGCGCTATATTTACAAAATAGCAATTTTGGCTGGATTCTTATAGTACTTGTTTTTCAGAAATGCGAATCAAAAGTGTTGTTATGTTAACCATTTTCCAATAGGATAATGCCTTTTACTAAAATGAGGGTACATTCTGTAAACACTATTGCCTCTGCGTTGCTGCTCCACAAGAAAATATTAAACAGGTGACGTTTCTATAGCCCATCCTAAAGTATTTGTTTGCAATAATATAACATATACAATCCAATCCTGGTTGCATATGGCCAAGCAGAATAGCAAACGCCCAGAAATCTCTTCCATAATTGACAATATGATGCGACAAAAGGCCAATTACAAATGGGGTCCAAATAAAGAACGCCGCGAAAAGGCAAGAGAGCATCTTTACAGTGATCATAACATCATCTAAATAATGACGCAGTTCCTTTTCCTTTTCATTCACCGTTTTGTGTACGTGTTCTTCCTGAGGAACAGGTAGGAAGTCGCTCATCAACAACACATTTGGGGCTATGGCAGCAAACTAAAATACATCAATCGTCTCAAAATTAAATATGTGTGTTTGAATATACTTTATAGTGATAGATACAGTCATACACGGTTTCCTAAGACATATGTCACTTGATTAATACAGAGTGTCCATAAAGTGTCTTCACAATTCCAAAACAGTATTTCTTAATGTTATTCCTCGGACTACTTCGGATCATTCTCAAATTCAGCAACCACATGATTAAAGATATGCTATACAGATATGTAGGTCAGTATTACATAATCGTGAAATGAATAAGTCTGAATATATCATTGGTCAGAAAACACTAAAACCTGCTTGAAACTGTAAAAGTTTATACACTCTATTCCACACTGTATAGAAATAAAATAACTTACACTATAAGTAACTGTGAGCCAATCATTGCATAGAAAAAACTTTATGCACTGTTTATAAGATTCACTGATACAAGTGGGTCAATACTTCATGTACTTTATCACGGGGTACCATCGAATAATTTTGGCAACGTACCGGAGAACGACATTTTACTAAGAAATGGCAATAATTTAGCACAATATATTTTTTAACTAGAGTTCTATTTTGATTTTGACAAAAGTAAGTATTCCATGCAATAACTATTTCATTCATGAGTTTGTAGGAATTCTGTTGGAACCCAGTTCTGATCAAGTACGAAGTTATTGAAATCGGCGCAGACGGACTTTACTTCGAAAGATGGTTTTTCGATTATAACTTTTCACAACATTTTAGTATAGACTTTTGAAAAAAGTACAGAATAGTCCTTATACTTTTGAATAATTCTGTTATTTCTGATTCACACGACTCTGATTTGTTTAATTAAAAAAAAAGTTTTAAAAATATTACTTAGGAACGTAACCGGAGCTGGGAACGTAACCGGAGCAGATCAGTTGAATTATTTAATCAAAAAAATTAAAATATATGATTTAAAGCACATATACTAATTTAAAAACATACGGGATTGTTCGAACGCGTATTTGCTTTAAATCATATATATTTTTTTTAATTATATAATTCAACTGATCTGCTCCGGTTACGTTCCTAAGTAATATTTTTAAAACTTTTTTTTAATTAAACAAATCAGAGTCGTGTGAATCAGAAATAACAGAATTATTCAATAGTATAAGGACTATTCTGTACTTTTTTCAAAAGTCTATACTTAAATGTTGTAAAAAGTTATAATCGAAAAACCATCTTTCGGAGTAAAGTCCGACTGCGCCGATTTCAATAACTTCGTACTTGATCAGAACTGGGTTCCAACAGAATTCCTACAAACTCATGAATGAAATAGCCATTGCATGGAATACTTACTTTTGTCAAAATCAAAGTAGAACTCTAGTTAAAAAATATATTGTGCTAAATTATTGCCATTTCTTAGTAAAATGTCGTTCTCCGGTACGTTGCCAAAATTATTCGATGGTACCCCGTGTTTATGTGCTCTCACTCAATTACCTTCCCTTGCATAAAGTTGCTGTACAGTTATATGTAACTGAATATGGTATATTCATCACAAACAACCTTAGCAAAATGATGGTTCGACGAAATGGACAGTTCGCTAAAACCAATAAACCAGGCAATCCAGGCCAATTTGGAAAGAAACTAGATAGCGTGATAGCGAATGAGGATAGTAAGTGAAATATATTTTGCAAAGGTCAGCTTGTAAACTACTGGGTAACCCTAAATGATGAGAAATATGTACAAAATATGTTTTGCATGATTTATTCATATCCCAATGATTTAACTCCTTCACTGCATCTAATAAGGTATATAGATACTAATTACGGGACATTTAGGAATAAAGTGACTAGACCAAAGCAAGCATGTTTGAGATTTTAATGATTTTAAATAAATTACCACTTCATTATTTGCTTTTAGACATTCAATCAGTTTTATTTGTCCAACAAACCATATTCACAATTATTCAATCCAACGAAGATTAGGGGATAAGCTATAGACACCCCTCCATTTGTCCGTCCATCCATCCTTCAACTAGACAACAGCAACACCAAAGTGTAGCAATTCATCGAACAGCCATGGCTGGCATTTTTACAAAGAAAGTATACAGCAAAGTTTTTTATCTCCATCGAAAAATAGTTCAATTCTTTTAAGCAAATGATTCTAAAAGTACAACATATCTTTGAAAAAATATCATTCTGTTAAGTGAAATTGTAAAAAATATTTTGCAATGTGTGAAATTGAATTAAAGCACATGATTCAATGAATAGTGGATGCTTCAATCCACTTATGTCTTCTTGTTTAGGCTTTGAATTCGGACAACCACCCTCGTTCATAGTCTAGAATCAGGACATATGTTAAATTTAATCATCTACAATGCATTGAGTCATTGGCTTAAATCCTATAATATAATATGCCTATCAATATAATATGTAATTATTTAAGTATCATCTCAATGCTTTAATTTTAATAGAATTATTTTAATATTTTACTAACTGTATAATATGTAGTTTGCATTACTGTTGATAAATAAATAAATGATTGCACTGTTCAGTAAAGAAATAAAGCAATTTTATTATTTAAACTGACTATACACTATAGAAATGATTTTCATTGGAAAATCAAATCAGTACCAAAATTATGGTTACCCTGTAGTAGTGAAAGGCACATTAAAAATGAATATCACCCCCTTCAATCTATTTTTACAGGTTTTTATGATTATTTCAGATTTTTCTATAGTTTGCGTAACCAGGACGGTGAATTTTCTTCATTTTTCATCAAACATTTTGTCTTACCAATATTTATTATATCTGTCAATTTTATCAAAATCGCACCGCTACGTTTGAAAATAATTCAAATTATGTAGTTTTTCCCATTGAGCTCCATTATAAAAATGGAATTTTCAAACTTAATATTTTAAAATTCTACGTGGTGAAAAGTTGCATATTGAGTAGTTAGTTAATGTTATGGTGTTAAAAATTCAAAACAAAAAGGAATAAAGAAAAAATGCCACAGAGAAGTCTCAATAGAGTCTCTTTAAAACACAAAATAGAGCAAAAGTAGTAGTGGCTTATAATACTTAATTGATAGACCACTTACCTCATATTTCATTTCTTTAATTTTCTTTATCCTGGCGGCTGTCATTATAATTGATATGAATATGGTCAGCAGTGATACCAGCAAAAATACGAATACGTACATATTAGTAGGTAGGAAATCCACGTCAAACAGGCATACCATACTCTCAGGGTCATATTCCAACTCTGCCCAGTCAGTCAACATGGGAATAAGACTGAGGAGGGTCAAGAGCCAAGGGACAAACGCGATGATAGGCGTCGTTTTCCATGTGAAAATACGTATGTACAGTTTTGGGAACCATACCAATATCATTCTGAAATATTTAGTAATAAATTCAAGGTTTAACTTCAGGTATGTGTAATATCAGGTAATGGCTAGTATTCATAAAAGGCCATATTACCAGAATGTTTAAATTTGAAATTATATGTAATTTGCATATTCTAAATCGATATCTCTAGTCATAAATTCAAGGTATAACTTCACGTATTTGTAACATTACGTAATGGCTAGACAGAAAAGGCTATATAACCAGAATGTTTCAAATAATACGTAATTTGCATATTCTAAGGCGATATCTTATTTTGATATCCGTGCTCCTATGAGCTCTTCAGGGGAGATACTTTGTAACATGTACCTGTTTATTGCCAACCCCGTCACACTTAGATATGCGCTGATACACGAGATCCAGCAGACACCCCCTAAGAACTCACAAAACTTGACTCTGTCGTGGAAGTACTGCTCTCCTAACACCACTCCTGAATACAATAAGGCAGATTGTAATATAGTGCAATATGTACATGTACATATCCACTTTTACGATTCCCAGTCCAGATTTTATCAAAAGAACATTGTCATTGTCAAAGGAAGATCAGAAAATCAAGATCATTAATTCTGAGGTCTTATGAAGTTATTATTAATGAAATCATATGGTTTTGGTTAATCACGTTCTGGGCAATGATAAGAGATAATGAGACGAACTATCATGCGAGGCACACTATAATGCACAATAATGACTCTTGGCTGAGTCTTTAAATGTTGCCACTTGGGATATTCAACTAACCTGCAATTCCAATCGGAAGCACGAATCCAGAGACGAGTATATCAGACGCAGCCAGTGAAACAATAAACATATTTTCAGGAACTCGTAAAATCTAGAAATAATGAAATAACTCCAGTGAATAGGCTTTACCGAATGGGGATGAGCTTATACATGTAGTTAAGATGTGTCCGTTTAAAACTCTACAACTATTTGTTATTATACAAATTACGTTTGTTTCAGAATCCCATTAAGAAGAACAAACAATTAGAGTAGTAATCATATTAGTTGGATCGTGAGATTATAAGAAAAAAATCGATCTATAAAGTATACTTTTTACAATTTTACCGTATACTTTGCTGGAAGATATTTCGTCTTATGCTTTTTAAGATACACTAGCAATGCATTTAAAATATTGTATATGAAAGTAAATGGTACAGTTTATGTCTATATATACAGTACGTTCTGCTTAGACTGATGTTGAAATCCATTTAAGTGGCACCCTTTTTAATTTTCATGTTTTTGATTATTTTCTCACATTAGAAAAGTAATATGAACCTCCTCCATATTTTTTACCTCAAATCTTATTTCAGAGGACTGAATAAAACAATTAATTGTCACTATTGGGTGAGCGGAACATGTTTAACATTAGGAACAACTTTATATATATGCCTAGATCACGTGTAGATTGGTAATCTTAATGTTTAGTAAACTTTTTATTGAGGTTCATTACAGTCTGTTGGTTTTTCAGATTCATAAATAAAAATGTGAATGGATTGCACTAGTCTTTAAACATCAAAGTACACTGTAATGAGGTTATGCAAAATAACTTCAGAAGTCATCCAAGGTCACAAGCTCCAGTGGTGATCAGAGACATGTTATTATATGTCTCTGTGGTGATGCATGCCAAATGCAGAGATACGACGTCAGATACTACACATCACGGCGTAACATTGTAATTGTTCATTTTACCGACAAAAAATGCGAAGATTCACGCGATAAATATGCGCAATGCTCCTCCAATTTATTGCAAAAGTTTTAATATTTATGGAATCTTCTTAAAAATTTCAAGTTTTGTTCAGATTAATGTGCGCTTCAATACAATTCTATATTCAAAAAGGTTGTGTCACGATATACAGTATTAGAATCACCAGAAAGTAGACATTTCAAACACTACCTGTTTTCTTCTTTGTCGTGCTTTTCGGCCCTGGGCTCTCGTTGTCGCACCGTCTTTCCAGACTCTTTCACAGAGCCCCTTATCATATTCAACTGATATACACAGAAGGAAAAATATTAAGGATTGTTAAATGTATGATTTGTAATTTATTTTAACTCGAATATTTAGTTGTATTTAGTTAAAGCAATTAATAACTAGAGGTTTAAGATTGCAAGCAATCTTACGGAGGCCCCGTAGGCTTTTTGAACATTTAAAGGTCAGCCAAAGGTCAAATCTTAAATACAAGGTCATATATGAACTCCAGGCATCTTGTAGATGATTTTAAAAAAAAAGTTTGGTCAATTTGAAGCAATGTGAAATTTGACCTTGAAAAATTTCAACATTAGACCTTTTTCAGTTTTTGAGGTCCAATATCTCAAAACTGGTGCAGAATTTTAATAGATAATCAATTGTTAATATGTGTAAAACCTTTAGAGGAATATATATCCTGACTTTAATTCAAAAATATTGATTTGTAGTCACAAACTTTGAGAAACTTAGAAAACACAGTTTGTGATCTTGTTTGATGACCTTGACCTTTGACCTTAAACATTTTACTTTTTTAGACCTCAGTATATCTTTTCTGATTGAATAAACTTAAATTTGAATCCAGAAAATCAATTTAAAAATCAACTTTTTTGATCTGACCTTTCGAAGGTCACTGAAGGTCAAATAAAGGTCATATGTCAAAACTAAGGTCAGATTTGAGTTCCTGAGATCTTGTAGATGCTTTTTAAAAAAAGGTTTGGTCAATTTAGAGCAAGTTGAAAATTGACCTTGAAAAATTTCGAAATTTGACCTTTTTTCAGTTTTTGAGTTCTTATATCTCAAAACTGGAGCAAAATTTTAATAAATAGTCAATTGCTAATATGTGAAGAACCTTTAGAGGAATATATATTCTGACTTTCAGTAAAAAATTTGATTTGTAGTCTCCCATTTTGAGAAACTTAGAAAACACAGTTTGTGATTTCGTTTGATGACCTTGACCTTGCAAATTTTACTTTTTTAGACCTCAGAAGGTCTTTTGTGAATAAATATACCTAAATTTAAATCCAGAAAATCGATTTGAAAAATCAACTTTTTGACCTTTCGGAGGTCACTGAAGGTCAACCAAAGGTGTCAGATTTGGAATCCTGAGAACTTGTTGAACTTTGGTAAATTTGAAGCAAGTTGAAAAAAGACCTTTTTGACCTTTTTTTGTCCTTCAATAGTGTAGTGTCAGGATTTGAGAAACTTAAAAAAAAAATTGATTTGACCAAGATTTTGACCCTTGACCTTGACCTAGATATGAACAAATTTCCCGACAAGTCCAGCCCAGGTCCCTTATAGGACTATATATGAGATAAGTCAAAGCTAGCTGGACTTTGGAGAAAAAATGCTAAAAAGAATAATAAATAAATAAAGAATAACTACAAAAATGATAGGAGGCCCCTTGAAGGGCCTCCTAATAAAAGAGAAATAGAGGATATCCTATGATTTATGAGTGATATGATTTTTATCCACGAATGGATATGATATCTGCACGAGCGAGCGTAGCGAGAGAGTGCAAATATCAATATCCATGAGTGGATTAAAATCATATCACGAGTAAATCATAGGATGTTCTTTTTATTCCATAGTTAAAGTCATCGTCAGAATCGTCGGAAATTAAGTGATTTAATTCGAATTTTCCAAACGATCCGGCGATGTTGACACTTAGCCTCGTTTTGAGTCTGAAGTAGCAAAAATCCATAAACCATCGCATACGACGTCGTATGTCATGGCTAAAAAACCGTATGCTATGGTTAAGTGAAAATTTGTCAAAAATATCATATTTTTCCACTGATTACAAAAATACCGTTTTTATTTTCACATGTTATCCTATGAATATCACGCTAACTATGGAATAACATATAATACGCTAACGGCGCAACGTCTTATTTTGTGAAGGCTTCACCTAGGGTTGTGGTAATAAAGTGATGTCTATCTCAATATATACTAATTCAAATTAAATGAAATATAAATTGTATGTAGTAAGGGGTACAATTAAAAGAACATGCTGAAACATTGGAACGTTTAGAATGTCTATCACTCAATAAGAGATATTTGAACTCAAAAAATGAAACATAATTTTGTGAATTTTTCACATAGCTTCACTTCATATTTCGTTCAATTCATGCTTCTTACAGATTGAATTTTAATCGAAATTATTTATTTTTTGATGAAAATGTAGAATATGACATGCCATTAAGGAATCAAAAAAGAATAATTCTCCTTTGAAACGATTTAATGTTTAATTGATCAAAATATATATCTTGTTGGTACGAAATTCTGCCTGTCCACACTTTTTTGGCATAAATATAAGCGTTAAGTTAGCATTGTTATATTATGACGTCATCACACAGAATCTCTTAGTCTTTTCCAAAATGGTGAATTTAAATATTGTGAAAATTTGAGAAAGATCCGTTTAAAAATGAAAAAGTTATTTTCATTTTTAGTTTAAAATTAAAATCATTTTCTTCAAAATGTTACAGTCCACACCCGGTTTTAGCATAGAAAGTCGCATAATACGGCTTGCGTGATTCTCATTTAAAATCTTACAAATTAATTATTTTGAATTCCAATAGACAAAATACTTTATGGACATATGTTCAACTAATGACGAAAGATGGTAGAAAAATATGGTTTCACTGTCGAGATATCGCGGTTTTAAAAATAAGTACGCATGTAAAATGCAGTAAAATGCCGTGATGTACAGTATCTGACGTCGTATCAGAACAGTGTCATGCTTGCCTTTAGAGGTATTTGAACCTTTTTATGTTTGCTCGTGACAACTTTGTAACAACTTTGTGACAACTTTGTAACAACTTCTATGCACTTCCATTGGTTATAATGAACTTTAAAAGTTATACAAAGCTATTCACATGAATTCTCTTAAAATGTTTCTAAAATGTTCATACTTTTAATATTAATACATGGTCCAGTCATTCTTACATGCACTGATTTATTGTTGCCATGTTATAGCTAATAGTTGTGGTAATAATCAAGTTCCAAATCTTATGATAAACGTGGATATATTTTAATGGTATTCAGACCCCAAAACAATGATTTTGAGGACGTTTTGTGAGAATTCATGGAAATACATGTACCTACGCATGATGATATAGTTCCACTTTCCTTGTAATTGTATTTATTCCTCACCTTTTCACGAACAATTGATACAATGACAAGTATATTTCCAAATACTCCTAAAATGCAGAATGTTACAGCGAAGAACATGTAAACTGCAAACTTTCCCGGAGAATGTTCAGCATAAGGAGGATATGTCAATAGGTAGCTCCGATCCGATGAATTCGTTGTATTGATATTACTCAAATGCGTTATGTGGAACTCCATGGTTTCTTCTTTCTATTTTAATGCAATACGAGTTCTTTACAAGCAAATATCAAGTCTCTATTAATGATCCTAGACGAATTGTGGTTATAAAAAATAAGTCTACACTCTATCACCTGTTAAAGAAAAGCATCAGTCCATTCACAATTTTAGAATGTTTAAAGCCCCCATATAAAGTTTAAACAACTTTTAAACAATGTTATCAAAGTGTGATATGTTTTTTCGAGGGCTTTTTATTCGTAAAATCGTGAATTTATTCAAAACTAACTTTTAGAGGTCACACGTATCTTTCAATAATGGATAATGCATAGCATTCATTCTCACATGTTTTTGCCGAAAATATTTGAAAATCGTATATAAGAAAATCATATATAAGCGAGAAATGAACTCATCAATGCATGAAAATGGTTCAGAGAAAATGCATTTCAAAATGTTAGTTCTCATAGAAACCAATGGTACAATAATATCTAAACCACATTCTTCCTTTTAACCTGGTTAGACAATCAACATTGGTTTATTCTTGAACTTGAGCATATTTAGAAAAGATTGACATTTTTCAATTTTTTCAAAACGTTTGCCACCTGCATGAGTCATAATGACATACATGTAACTAATGTTGCAAAATTTTTTTGATATGCTAAAACATATATTGAAATGGCACATTAAATATGACATTTTATTATTGAAATAGTGTGTCCACTGCATGGGTGTTAAAAAGATGTTTTTTGCACTGTTATTTAAAAAAAATTATTATGTTTATTTTATCTATCAATTTCTGATGACATATACATATGTTCATACATTTTATATGATAAACATTTGTACACGTGTGTAATTAGGTGTTAAGTATAAAGTATAAAGATGAATACACGTTATTTACATATTGCAATGCCTATGATACAAAAAAACAAAACTTTTCTGAAGAGGTAATTTAATAAGGTTTACAACAATACCAACGATAGTGAAATCAGACAAGTAATTAAATTCACAGAGGGGGGGGGGGTGTCCGAATGACCCCCCTCTCGCGACTTAGTGTTACAAAAAAGGTTGCAGACATTAGGGTTAACTTTTGGGCAAGATATATCTGAGCGGGACGGCCCACCGGATTGGTATTGACACATAACAGAAGTTTCAAGGGTGGGATGAAAGGAAAGAGAAGTTCCCAAACTGATCTTACCCTTAGTTCAACACTGTTCCAACATGAACACAACACTTGTGCCACCCCTTCCAAAATCACACGATTACTAATAAATTCATTCACCTGAATATGTATAGATGTCACTAAGGATACTACCTATCCTTAAATTACACTATACTAACCAATGTTACTTCGAATTCACTTTAAGGATTGGGCAAGAGGTTTTTGTCTGTTTCGATCATTTGTCATACATGCCATACCAATTGAAGCAGTATATCATTACAAAAATCCCAAATCCCTTTCCGAATAAAAATAGAATAAAAAAGTAGAAAAAGTAAGAATAAAATAAAGTAGAATAAAACCCCATAAACAAAACAGAGACAGTAGAAATTCAAAACAAGATACTATTTATTTTATCACCAGTAAACTTGACTATTTATATTCCCAAACTGCTGTTTATTGTCCTAACCAACCCATACACCAATGGAACCATAATCTTCATTAACTATCCGCGGGCGAGCGCGAGTGCAATGCATTGCATAATAAATAAAAAGCAGTTCATCCAAGCACACTTAAACCGCTAATAGAGGAATTTCTAAATAGCTTTGAAATCTCACAAATTCTCGTTTTTTCATGGGATTTTAAGAGATTTGCACTTTTACCTATAATGACTTATTTTTATTTCTTTTTGAAAGCATATTTGAATTCAGTGAATATTTAACTCCAATACACTTTGATATACACAGTCATTAAAATATGGGGTCCTCGATCGCATTATATCATAATATGAATAAACAATCATGGCTCACGCACATCAATGATGTACTTAAATATATTTACAATGGTACTTCACCAAACTATTTAAACTTAAAACCAAGAGAAATTAAGAAATTACTGGAAAATAGATACATACAATTTTGGGAAACTAAAATAAAATCAAATAATGGTAAATTGAGGTTTTATAAGGTAATAAAAGCAAAATGGAACAAGGAACCCTACTTGGATTTAATCAAAAATGAAATAGACAGAAATAACTTGACAAAGCTAAGAATTAGCGCACATAAATTAGAAATCGAAACAGGTCGTTACACAAAACCAATTACCCCTATTGAAGAAAGAAAATGTTTAATGTGTAACAAGAAAACCGGTTCAGAATGCCACTTTCTATTAGAATGCAATAAGTTAAAAGATGTTCGGTCAAGTTACATAGATAAAAATAAAAAAACACTGTCAAAATTTAGAAAACATGAATAACGTGGAACATAAATTAATGTTTCTATTTAATTCAGAGGGAATAATATTAAATATACTAGCAAAATATATATCTAATATTTTTATAGAGAGAGAAAAAAACACGAAATGCATCCAATAAAATCTTGCAATGATCAAGCACCCTTTGATTAGTTAATATACTATATAGATAATTAGTTAAGCTTTTTCATTTTTTTCTGTTTAAGCTGTACACTTTGCCCAAATGTGGGATACAAGTATAATAAAGCTCATAATAATAATAATAATAATACCGACGCACATTGTTAAGTTTTCCTGGGTGTAACTATCTGTGTGTAAGCTATCAACATTACGTACATCTTTTGTTTATGATATGAAATACATTGTATTCTTAAATCTATTTTTATCCAAACTAAACTTAATAATAAATAATTGACATATTTTTGCAGACTTACAACTTGTACATGAAGGTTTTACCTGGGCTGTGATTTAGGGTGTTTGCAGTTTTGAGCTTCCCTTCCTTAATGAAGCTTATACTAGATTATAATTCTGTTGCTATTCCTTGCCTGGTCTTCCTGATTAAATATGCATGGTTTTCAATGATGCTTATCATACTCTTCTACTCTTATCATACATCTTCCATTTACGCCTTTTTACATCACAAAATCATGGTGTCGGACTGTCGGTATACAGCAATGGTTTTCGGTACAACACGCGCGCACGGATTTCGGTAAAACGCGCATCGGTATATCATGTTTATTGGTTTTCGGTACAATGCGCATCAGTATATTGGTTTTCGGAACAATGCGCGTCGGTATTTTGGGTTTCGGTATAATGCGCGTCAGAGGTGATCCCATTAATCATTTTAATAAACTTGGGGCAAATCTTCATTGGCGCAATGCTTAAATTCTTTAAAACCTTGGTTTATTCGCATGACAACCAATATTTTCATATTTAATCAAAATATTGAAGTCAATGGCAGTTTGGCCAAAGCAAATCAAAGTCAAATAAGGGTGACATCTATTATGTTAGCTTTATTCAGCTTTATCCAGCTATATAGAAACTATACTACTACGCTGTGGCAACCTTGGGCTGCTCGCGTGTGTCAACCGCACATTGAAAAAATTATGGCCCCCCAGGGATTATTGGCCCCTTTCTTAACCGCCCTTTCTGGCCCTTATTGTGTATAAGATAATAAGGGAAAGAGGTCACCATATAAATCAATGAAGAGTAGGACCATAATTGATAGGACCTTCTACCCTTTTACCCCGGCTTGTTGTTGCTAGTGAACCACATGAGTTCGATCGCAACAATCCGTATTGTCTTTCAAAAGAATTGAGTGAGTGTTAGTGCGCTTGGATGAGCTTTTTTGTTCAAAACACATGAGCATGTAATGAACACTGTATGGCTTATTGTTCTTTTTAGTGATATCTTGGAGAAACCTCATAAAAACATAACGCAATTTACTAGCACCGCGGGCATACACAAATGCAACATTTGTTTGAAACTGGCCACGCGACCCCATCTGACAACCACAGTTCATTATCTTAGATAGGATAATACACTTTACAAGACCTCTCGAAATGTTGACGTCGATTGCAAAATATACCAGTGATAATGATAAAGATTGAAGAATGTCGAGCTCGTGTCATCACCACGAATGTACTAAATGTACTTTAATTAATAAGGTGCACTATCGGAATTGTATTCTGACAAACAATCATAATGTTTTTTGTAATTTATTAGTTTATCTTGGCTTAGACCTGTTATCCAACACATTCCAGTTTGACTTTTTCTTTACCTCTAAAAACGGTGGCTTATATATGTTTACCGGCAACGTGTCAGCAATTTAAGTGTACGATATGTGAGCGAACATAGCAAAGGTAGATCACATTATAATACATCTTACCTTTTGTAAACAAAAACTTGTATATAATCTAACCCGGTCATACTCATCAAACGCCGACTTCTGTTTCAAAATCGAAATAAGCGTCTTATTCTTAGACGTCTCCATACACTATAGAATACCTACGCCATGCCTTTTGCATTATGGCTTGCGAATTCCACCCAATTAAGAAAAATCTGCATTTTAAACCATGACCACCATGTGATTTTACGTATTGGTACACTTGTCAATGTAATGACAGAATGGCCTTCTTTTTGGTTTACTTACGGCCAATATATTATCCCACTTCAAACACTATATTATATTGAAGTAGTCTAGTTGTAAAATGAACAGTCTCATTAACCGTCAAACTGTTAAAATGTAATTAACACAATACGGCATTTTGTTTTGACTATATTACACTTAAAACAATAATAGATTCGTGCTTTGTACTTCCACAAAGCAGATCAAAGTTTGCGCTGACCATACGTAGTGAGTCTAGTGACCCTGTTATATTTTCTCTTATCTCGAAAATTGTAAAACACTATATTTCAACATTCAAGTACTTTTAAGTCAACATTTAAATATCTAACATGTGTGAAAGCAAATTTCAGCCACTAGATTTACAACCTTGCTATATTGTTCTAAGTCCAAACCCGTTCGAATTCGTCATTGGCGAGAAGAGGGTCAATCAACCGGGCATGCGATATAAGGATAAGACATATCCTCAATTCGCAGAATAAACGATCG